AGAGGGCAGTTCCCCAGGAGCCCTGGTTGTTGTCTGGTGGTTGTCTCTCCGGCAGGCTTTTCAGGGCCCCGAGGTCTGGAGCTGGCCTCAGCTGTCATATCTGCTCCCGGGAGAGCCTGGCCTGGCTAAGCTGTACCCCTGTTAAACCTATCAGAGCTGGCAAGGCCCAGTTTTAGCCAGGCCTGTGCAGGAAGCCTGAAGGTGCCAGCGAATCGTGGGGACAGCCTAGTTGCTTGGGTACCTCCAACTCAATGAGCCCCACCCTAAAGCAAATGCTGCTCTCCTGAGTCTGTCCCTCCTCCTGGCACCACAAGCATCTCATTCCAGGTGCCAGACCATTTCTGTCTGAGAGGCCCCTTCAGCTGGGCCCTTCACTCATCCTCTTGTCTCCTGGTATCATTGCAATTAATAGCAGGGCCCGTATGGTGCACTGTGTTCCCAGGGGTAGGGGCTGTCCCGAGGCCCCTCCCCAAGGGGCAGGCAGTGGGCCTCAGGGATCCACAGTGGCCAGGGCACAAAGGGTAGCAGGTGGGTCAGTACCCACCTCCTGGGTGGACACAGTGCTGGCCCTGTTGAAGAATCACAGCATTCAGAGCTCGCAGGTGTACACGGGGCCACCCCTAGACTCTAGGGGCAAAGGCAGGGTGCAGCCTATGGCCTCTGGTCTCCTCCCCTGACAGCACAGGCCCCTTCCCCCTGGGCCTCCCACTCCCCGCCCTGCAGCATCCTTTCCCCTCCTATCTTCCCTCCTTTGCCTGCCCAGCCACAGCTACACACTTGTGCACAGACAAGCTTCCAGAATGTGGGGTCCCTAGTCACTGTCACCACCTTCTCCCCTCCCCACCGTGCAGCCACTTCTTGCTCCCCAACATCGCCAATGACTTTCTTGTTACTAATGCCTCTTGGCAGTACCAGACTACACCCACCTTCTGGAAGGGTGTTCTTGCCTTCTCATACCGACCTTTCCTTGTGGCCTACTGTCAGGAATATCCTTGGCCTTTACCATGTCTCCAGTTGGTAAAATGCCTCAAGGCCCAATCCTCTCTTCTCTTTTCATGCTACACTCTCTGGGAAGCCACCTCATCTGTCCTCAGAGACCCTAGGACATCCTATCCACACCTAATTCCTGATCGTCATTGTAGAAGGCTGCACAGGGCTCTGGAACTGGACTGGGCCGGGGTCCCAGTCAACTCCTCCATCAGGGTCCCACCATACACCCTGAAGATCTCATTCCTGCCTCCATGTCCATCCTGATCCCCCAGCTGAGTTCCTGACCCCCACGTCCAAGTGTCCAGTGGATGGTTCCTAATCACCAGAGGGTTCTTGTCACTCCTGAGCCAGGAGGGCACTGGCACAAGGGACTCAACGACCATCTCTAGGGTCTGGTTGAAATGCACATCTCTGTCACTCCCCTGCAGTGGACAGTTGCTGCTTGGGTCCACCATTTAGCCCTGGCTTTTGTAGAGAATCCCCCTCTCCCTCCCGCCCATGGGTATCCAGGGGGCTGGCTTCCCCCCACCCATCCCACTGCTGGCCAAAATGATTGGAGCATGACCTGATTCTGACCAATACAAGGACAGCGTTTATTTGCTGGGGACATCAGAGAAAGAAGGTACACTACAGGGCGAGAAGGTGCTCCTTGCTGGCTGTGAACAAGATTCAGTGGCAACTGCAAGCAGCCATCTTTTGCTCCTGAGGCAACGGCCTGGGATGGAGCAGACACTTCAGGATGCAGAGGGGAGGTAGGAAGAAACTGGGTATTTGGTGAAATTGTCCATCTGCTGCCAATACCCCTGGACTTCTCAGTTTGGCAAACCAATGTTTCCTTTATTGTTTAAACCAATTTCTTCCATGATTAGACCAATTATTGGAAATCAAAAGCAGCCTGGCTAATATAGTTCCTTTTGGGTAAGAGCCAGTCCCACGTTCACCTTTAGTGGGATTCAAAATTTCAACAAAAATTTCCTGACTCAGAATAAAATGACAGCACTGGTAAGTATCACATGAGCTGCCAGACCACACCAGTTCCTGAGCGGGCCCTGCTGTTTGATGTTCCCAGCTCTCGGGGGGAGCCAGGGACTTTCTTCTGCTCTTCAAAGCCTTCGCCCATTGGGCCTCTGTCTTCCCAGCCTCCGGACCCAGCATTCACCCCATGTGGCCCAGGCAGGAGGGCAGCTTCCTTCCAGTCTTGACAGCCCTAGGTATCCTCTGCCAAGGAGCAGGTGCCTAGTGACCTCTGGTGCCCATACACCAGGCAAAGTGGGAGGATCAGCGCCACCAGCCCAGGCTTCTACCCCCTCCCCGGCACTCTGAGGGTTCCTCTTAGGCAGTGAGGCGTGTGCAGAGTGAAAGGCCCTGTATCCATGCGGCAGGGGAAGGGTCCACTTCCACACTGTGGGTGAACGCAGCATGTGGGAGCCCGGCCAAGGCTGAGTGACCTCAAGTCAGTCACCTGTCATCCTTCAGAGATGAGAAATGCTCATGTCCAGGAGGAGACAAGCAGAGAGAGTACCCAAAGAGCTGTGACGTGAAGGGCCAGGACATCGCATCTCTGGGCCATGCTTGGCCATTGCTCGGTTTTTGGCCTGTTTATGGAGTACAGGAGGAGGGCTGCAGACCCCTCACCCCGGGGCTGGGTAAGGATGAAGGAAAAGGAGCTTTCAAGAGTGGCCCCCATTGTGCAGAGTTAACAACTAGGGACCGACGTGGCACAGGGACTTGCCTGAGATCACACCGCAGAGGTCCCCGACTCCCCCACCTGCTTTTCCTTGTCGAGTGCTCACTGGCTGCAGCGGCTGAGGGGGCCCCAGGGCTCGCTGTCACTTGGCCTCCTGCCAATGTCCCGAACCTGTCTGAGGTCAGGTGACGGGACTGGGCAGCAGGGGCCAGCTGCTTCCCCTTTCAGGCCTGAAGAAGAGTTTCTGGAGGGTTTATTCTCAGTGGGCTAAACATGATAGGCCAAAGCCCATCCCTTGGAACCTGTCCAAACAGCCCCTTTGTTCCTTTGCACCCTGGGGCATTTCTAGAAGCTGGCTGCACTCAGATGCTGGCTCCCCCACTTCACTGCTAGGTGCCTCGTTGTCTTACCTTTTGTGTGAGGTGTGGGAGCAAACCCATGTCAAGTGCTGTGAGCTGTGCCTGGCACCTAGCAAGAACCAGGTATGGGTACCCAGGTACCTGCCGGCGATGATGATGATGATGATGATGATGATGATGATGATGATGGTGATGATGGTGGTGGTGATGATTATGAGCCAAATTGCAACAGGAGAACACATTTAATGCTACATGCAGCTTGTAGCCTGGCCGGGCTCCTCCTCACACTCTGAGAATCCTATTTGGAGAACCCCTTCTCCATAGCTTCAGTCACTTCGGGGTGCAGAAAGCGGTTAGCCAAGCGTTCGATGTCATCCAGCGTCAGGCGGTTCAGGGACCTCTCATAATCCTGAGGAGAGAAGGCCAGAAGGATTCAGGGGGTGCCGGTTGGGGGTACCCTATGACCGAGGCAGGGGATGGGCACAGCTGGGCGGGGAGTGGATGTCCTGGGCCGCCCTTCTCACCCTCTGTAGTTGATCCAGAACTCTGCTGGCATCTGCAGCACTGAAGTGGCGGGCCAGGACTTTGGAGATCAGCTGCCAGGCTGGTGTGGGCGGTGGTGGGACCTCGGCCAGTCTCCGGGCGGTGCTTTCTTCCAGTAACACCTTCTCCAGAGGTTTGACCACTAGGTTGAGCTTGGAATTGGGCCCAACGCTGTAATCGGAGAGTCTTTTCCCATCTGCCAAAGAGAGATTGATGGAGTCGTTACCCACGGCGAAGCTCTGCAGCATCTGTCTGAGGAGGGTTCAGTCACCTCCCTGAGGGTAGAGTGGCCAGCACCCCATCCATCACACTCCTTCCCGGGCTCGGCCTAGGCACCCCGTCCCCTGAATTCCTGCGGGGCTCCCTGGGCGTCTCCTCTTCCCGGGTACCTGCCAGGGCCTTGCCCTTGAACAGCAGCCGCTGCTGGCGCACGGGGACGTTGAGCTTCTCAGAGACCAGATGTTTCAGCGTGGACACCGGCTCGTCCTCCGACACCTGGCCGGGCCGAGGGTACGAGGCAGGGGTTGAGTCCGCGGCCCCCGTCGAGGGAGGCTCTCCCGGCCTCCCCATCCCCGCCCTCGGCCCGGCCCATCCCCGCGCCCAGGGGGTGGTGAGTGCGCGAGGCGGCACGGCGACGGGGGCCCGGTGACGCTACCTGCAGGCTGCACTCGCGGCCCTGGAGCGCTTTCACTGTCAGCTGCATGGCGGCCGCGGCGGCGTCCACTGCGGCGGGCGCGCACCCCAACCGCCCCCCGCTGCGCGCCGCCGCCCCGGGCGCGCGCCGGAACCGCCCGCCGCCGCCGGAAGAAGCGCGGGGGGCGCGCCCGGGCCCCGCCCCCTTCCCGCCCCGCCCCGCCCCGCGCGGCCCGGGAGGAGTCACCTTGGGGGCCCGCCTCGTGAACGCACAGGGACGGCGCGGACTGACAGATTTCGCTACGGCGACGGTGCCTGGAAGCCCGCCACGAGAGGGAGGAGGAGCGAGCTGGGCCAGGTTGGCTTCCTGTGGGAGCTGGGGCTTGGGGAGGACGGAGGAGGGGCCAGGAGTACCGTCGCCCCCAGCGGACTGGTGGGGCAAGGCGTGCAAACCCTGCTTCTCTCGCTCAGGAGTCCACGTAATGGCCCAGTGCCCCACTGCCCGAGGGCCTTCTGCCTCCTCTCTTCTGGCCTGGCTGCAGAAAATCAACTGAGCTTGAGAGCTGGCTGGGGAGCCCGGCCTCTGCCCTCATCCTCCCACGCTCATTCTAGAACAGTAGGGACCACGTCTAACAGGGGATGCCTGGGGAAGGAGGGTTGAGAGAGTCTGTGCAGAGGTCACCATCGTCACACAAGCCAGTCCTCCAACCTGGCCCACATCTACCCAGCCACACCCTTCCTACCCCACCCCACCCCCAGGCCCCTAAGGGCAAAGACTGGAAGGCACCCAAGCTTGCTTCTCTTTTATTGAAATATATTTTCTGAGCAGTGCCCACCTACCTAACTCAGCATGGCCTCTTTGGCACTGAAAGCTGGAGAATAAAAAACCAGTAAAAAAAATAAGCCTGGATTTTTTTTCTGAGTGCATAGTGCATGAGAGCTGAAGGCCTTTGGTACACAAGAACTGTGGGTACAGTGGGTGGAGGGTGGGGGCGAAGGGTGGTGAAAGCTTGACCCAGGGGCCTCAGGGGACTGGGCACAGGCTGCTATAGATGAAGTGGCCAATGACCAAGGCCAGCATTTCTGAGGTGCCGCTTAGTGCTACAATGAAGGGGGCCTGGGAGGCGTAGTCTGCTTGAAGGCGACGGAGGGACAGTTGCAGCATGGCCAAGGCCAGCAGGCTGTTCTGTACCCCTACCTCAATGCTGACCGTCCGCCGCTGGGCCACTGGCAGCTTCAGGCATGTGGCCAGGCAGTAGCCCACCAGGAGGCCAACCAGGGGCACTGTGAGGCCCACCAGCACGATGGGCAGCCTGACGCCTGCCAGGATGAAGACCCCCATGCGGTAGGCCAGGAAGAGGCCACCCAGGAGAAGCACAAAGCTGAAGGGCTTGATGACCTGCAGCAGCAACTGGGAGAACTTGGGGAGCTTGGACTTGATCACCACGCCTGCTGCTATGGGGATGGCGATGAACAGCAGGGTCCCCAGGATCTTGGAGATGGGCACGTGGAGTGTTTCATGGATGCTGAGCAGGCGGCTGTAGATGGCTGAGGACAATGGCAGGAAACCGGTGGCAGCCACTGTTGAGATGAAAGTCATGGAAATGGCCAGGGTGACGTCCCCTCCAAGAAGGAGGCTGAAGAGGTAGCTCCCCCCACCGCCGGGCGCCGAGCAGGTGATGATGAGGCCTAGAGCCAGGGCCTTGGGCAGCATGAAGACCTTGGCCATCAGGAAAGCATAGAAGGGCATGACCAGGAACTGGCCTAGGAGGCCCAGCAGCATGGGCTGGGGGCTCTGCAGGAGCCCCTTCAGAACCTCGAGTTCTACTTTGCACCCAAATGAACACTTGTTGACAAAGATAAGAGGCAGGAGCAAGTAGAGTATTGGGTTCTCTGAGAAGTGGACCAAGTCGGTGCCAAGGGTGGTGGGGGTGTCTTCAGCAGGTGAGACCTTGATGCAGAAATCTCTCCGTTCCTCAATTAGCATGGGTGGGGCCTCGTGGGGGTCCATGAGCTGGATGTGGAGTGGGGCCAGCCCAGGCAGGCCCGAGTGGATGCTCACCACAAAGCCGCCCCCACCGCCCCAGGTTATGGCACTCACATTCTTGATGGTCAGCACCTCTGTGTCCAAGGAGGTGACCCTCAGCATAGGGCCAGGCCCTGTCCTGTTGCCCTGGCCTGGGTACTGGCTCGAGATCACAATGATGCCCTCGCTCTCCTCTGGGAACTCAAACTCCATCACAGAGCCATCCCCAATGCTCAAGTACTGGTCTCCTGTCCGTGGCACAGTATGGTCCAGAGCTGTGCTGAGGTTGGCACTGGCTATTCCCTGGGCTCCCAAAGGCAGGCTGACAAGTAGCAAGAAAGCCCTGAACATGCCTAGGGGGCCAGGGCAACCTCCCCGCCCCCCCCGTCCAGGCCACCACCGGGAGTTGCCCCTGTCCCTCCTAAACACCATGGCTCCTCCCAGAGGACCGTGTGCCCAGGCCCTCTGTGGCTTAGGAGAGCAGCCCCACTGGTGCCGTCGGGTTGTCTGGAGAAGGGTCCATGGGCCGGGCCTGGCCCTGTGCTGTGTTCTTTGATGGCAGAGCTCTTCCTGAGGAGAGAAGGGACACAGAAAGGTGGCTGGTAAGGGCGAGCAGCTGTGAGTCCAGGAGCGAGGGGATCTGGAAGCCCACTACCGGGAGGCCTAGCAGAGCCCCTAGCACCAAATCCAGGAACAGAAAGGCAATGCCTAGTGCTGGCCCTTGAGTGCCATTTGGCTGTCCCCTTCCCCAGCATACCTGCCTCAAGTTTCCCATCCCTCACCCAGAGGGGCCATCTACAGAGAGGAGTTCCCTTTCAGACTGCTGCTACCTGCTGCTTTCCCTGGCCTTTTCTAGTACAGTGAACATGCAGAAATGTCCTGATACCAAGGGATTTGGGAGAGCCACCCCCAACCCTGTCACCACTAGCCTGTTCCCCACAGGCTTCGACTGACACAGACACAGAGGGGCCACAGGGACACCACACCCAGGATGAAATCTCTGAAAGGCTGCATGGGGACGGCAGACCAGCCTGCTGAGAGCTGGGTGCTGAAACATCGGCTTGGGCCACATCTGAGAGGCCATCAGGGTGTTTGAGCGTCGTTGGCCAGGCCGAAAGCAGCCAGCACAGTAGCGTGTGTGGTGAGTGGGTAACCATCTGGCCGAAGGCCTCGGGGGCTGACATCTACCACGACATGCAGTTGTGGATGGTGCTGCTGTGGCTACCTGGTCTCCCCTACCTGCTGACAGTGGTGAGGTGGGGGTCCTGGGGCAGACAGCAGGTCCTCTCTCCCCAAGGAAACTGCTAGAAGGGGAAGCAGGAGGGGGTCAGACAGGACCACTGTGTTTGCTGGGTGCTTTTCTTCCTCCTGTCAGAGCTCCCACTCCTCTGGCAGTTCCCAGAATTTGAGCTCCTAGAAGCACTGTCTGGAGGCTCTGTCTGGAGTCCAGGGGCTCCTTCCCATGCCCACATGAGGCCCTACCAAAGCCTAGAACTCCCAGTGGGATTGTAAGTGTTTCTGGGTGGGGGGAGGGTGCCTCAGGATGAAAGGTTTGTCTGCTTCCACTTCTCAATCTGGGCCGCCAGCAGCACCTGCTGGAACTGGGGCAACCAGGGCAGGGACACAGTGGTTTAGCCTCACTACTGTTGGTTGCCTCACAGTGCCTCACTGCAGTGTCCCAGTCCTGGAAGAGGCCCTTGCCTCTCCAGAGCTATCAATCTTTGGCCCTGTTGCCCCTCATCTGAGACTGGGCAGCTGGGGAAGTAGGGGGTGAAGGGCAGGTTAAGCAAAAAGCTCATCCCTGGGAAAGCTCCCCCACCCCTGCATGCCATGGCCTCTGCTGGTTTGGAGTTTGGGTCACTTACCCTGGAGGCCTTGGTCCAGCTTTGCATCCCACCGCGGAAGAGGGAGGCAGGAAAACCAGAGGGAGTATGAGAAGCAAAGCGGAGGGGAGTCACAGGGAAAAGATGACAGCACCCGGGACTGAAGCCACTGGGGTGGTGTGAATCAGTTCAGAAGGGAGAGGAGGCTAAGGGCCATCCACCCTGTCCTTCCAGTACGGCTGGCGGCTTTGAGTCACTGCAAGAGGGTTCTGGCCCAGATCCCACACCATTTCTGCTTGAGGGACTGGAAGAGTTTGAGCAGATGCACCCCAAGGGAGGGGAGGGAACCCTGGACCGACCGCTTTTTCCACACTGGCCGTGTGTTCGGTGTTAGGACAGTTGGCATTGCTGACCCGGGGCTCCTCCCTACCCGGGAGTCCGGAAGTTGCCGGGTTAGGCACAGAGCTCGAGTGCGAACCAAGGAGGGAGCGGCGCCCCGCCGCCGCCGCGCTCGCGCTGCCGTCCTGCAGTCGGCAGGCGGGTGAGCCGCCTGGGCGGTCCCCGGATCGCGCCAGTGGCCCTCGCGCCACTCCCAGGCCCTGCGGCCGCGCCCGTCCCTGGCCGGGCCCGGCCGCCCGAGCGAGCGAGCGAGCACGGAGCCGGGCCGGGGCCGGGGCCGGGGGCCGCCTTCCGCCCGCCCTTTCCGGCCCAAAGCTCTCACCTGCCGCCGAGGCCCGGGAGCTCGGCGCCGGGGCCAGCGCCTGCCCGGCCGGCGGACGCCTGGGAGCTGGGCCCGCTGGGGGCCCGCCCCGCTTGCTGGCGCCCCGGCCCCGCCCCGCCCCGCCCCGCCGAGGCTCCGCCCCTCCTCCCCCGCGGCGGCCGGCTGCCTCACCTCTGGCGACCGGGGCCGCTTCCGAGCGGATATGACGTATCTGGGAGCGACGAGCTGGCGCGGGCGCACGGACCTGGATGCCTTCCGGGTCGCGGCTGGCCCACACTGGGTTGCCCTCGGGCCGCTGTTCCGAGTGTTCTGTAGTTGGCGACCGGGCGACAGGTTCCGGGTAGGGGCCCTGGTCAGGCCCAAACACTCTTGCGGCCTCTCGGGGGCAGTGGAACACAGGCTTAGCCGGAAGCAGGGCTCGGTCGCCCCGGGGGGCTGCTGGTGGTGGCGGGAGTCCAGGTCAGGCTGCGCCTAGTTCCACCTTCCCTCGTTCAAGCAGTGACCGAGTATTTACTTCCAAACTGTGGGACATCAGTGGGCTTGGCCGCCTTTCAAAACTATTTGGCGCCACTAGCAGGGTCTGAAGGCCTCACGGAAAAGGAATGCAAACAGATGGCATAAGTTGGGCAAGGAGGTGGTGAGGGTGTAGAAAGGACATGGAGAGACAATAAGCAAGTGCTGAGGCTAAGGGGATTTGCATATTCGGAAAGGCTGCTGGGCAACTGCAGTCAGTCCGCCAGTGGGACAGTGGCTACCCACTGCTCGGGAAAAACTTGTCACAGCTGTGATGGAGGCTAGTGGTCCTGAGTCACAGGTACTTGCCCACAGGAGGTGCTGAAGACACATCGCTGAGAATGTCAACAAAACAAATCAGCATCTGTATTTTAATTTATTTTTTTCAGGCACATAGTGACTTTAATAATAAAACTATTAGTTTAAACTTAAATACATTTTACTTATTTAAAAATTGTGTTTCATACAGTTCAGATGGGTAGTATATGTGATATGTGAACAGATAAACACATGGTGGGGTGTATGCTCAAGAGGGTTTGATTTATGTCAGCGATCAAAAACATTCAGAGGCCCTAGCTCTAGGCTGTTCTTTAGCCTCAGAGGACCAGTAAGGCATAAGCCATTTGTGTGTGTGTACTCTGTTTCTCAGAACATCCTCCATACCATCCCTCTCAAATGAGGGGGAGGGGGTCCTGACGGAAGCAGCTTGGCACGGGTGAGAGGCCTGCGTTGGGCACAGCGCTGCAACGAAGAGGCAGTTTGCAAAAGGGCAGGGGGGTGGGGCTGTCTGAGGGCGGGTATTACCGGCCAGTGGAGAAGGGGAATGGGTCAGCCAGAAGAGCTGGGGAGGGAAAACCTAAAAGACTTGTCCTCCCTGGAGGAAACCCGTGATTTAATAATCCAACTAAATGGAAATTGGTGCCCGGGCTCAGGGGGGAGTAAATGGAGTTAGAAGGCTGCTCCCCATTACTGTCAATCACTTCAGCCCTCCCTGAAAAGCCAGAGTGGGCTGGTGGGGTGTCTGGCATGAGGGAATTGGGAGGCCTCTACAGGACAAAAGGACGGCTAATTAAAGGCAAGAGAATGTTCGTAGTTGGTTTAGGGGATTAATAATTTACCCCAGGAGAGGAGGAAGGGCTCTACAAATCAAAGATATCTAGTCCCAAAAGATAAGTCATCTGGACTGAGAGAACATATAGAACAAACGATAGTGACAGCCAAAACATAAATGCAGTTCAGATGGGAGACCTGCCACTGTACTATGTAATAGGGGCACAATGGCGACTCTGAGAGGTATGCTTTCCTCCTGGTCTCCGGGCAGCTGTCTCCAGGAATACGATGTGATAGATAAGCATGCATGGAAGACATGTTCTCTACAAGCACAAGTATGGCATGCATTTGGTATTTACAGGGAAGTGGTGGCAACTCTCATTTTTGCCTGCCCTGCATCAGGTAACAGCACCTCAATTTTCTTTGTGGGAGCTGTCCCTCCTCCACACTTGGTACACAAGGTCTGGATGTGGGTCACTCCAACACTGGCTTCTGTGGTGGGCCCATGCCTAGGTGCAGCCAATGGGGAGCCAGACAGACTGACACAAGGATAAGTCCATAATCTGACCTGGACCAATGAGAGCTAGTTCCCAGGGATTTGTACTACAAGTACTGGGACGGTGGGAGCTTTTTGGCTGGGATTGCTAAACTGGGACCTCTATTACTGCTCCCCCTATGTGGGGGAGACAGCATGTTTGAAAATGAAGCAAATACAGAGAAAAGTAGAGCCAAGAAATGGAGGGAGCTCATGTCCTGATAACGTGATAGGGGCTAGAATCACCTGTGGGCATTGGGGTCCAATATGGGAACACTAAGTGCCCCAGCCCCTGTCATCACTTGTTTTTGCTTATGTCAGTTTGAGTTGGGATCCTGGCACTTATAACAAAGATGACCTAACTTTAGTAAGGGTAGGTGGGGGGAGGGGTACCACCCTGGTGCCCCGGGGGGAGGACTGAAGGATAAAGCTTTACCTCCACTTTGGAAATTCGGGCAGGCTGTGCTCCATACCATCATCAGCTTCCTAGCCTGGGTTGGGCCAAGTGGAGGATAAAGGGGCTTGCTGTTTCCATCTGTGTGATTCTGGCGACTCCCAGTGAGGACACAGCCCCCTGAGGAGTAAGGGACCATCACTGGGGCTCACTCCTACATTCCCAGATGTAACCCAGTCCAGGGCAGGCCCTTGGTGGATGTTTGGGGAAGGTCAGGCAATTACAGCAATTGTATGAGAGGCACGGTGGGGCCCACATGCCTCCCAGCCTCAAGTGTGGACTTTCAGTGAGGTTCTGTTTCATTTGGGAACAAGCTACCAACCTTGGGGAGCCCCACTTACCTGGCTTCTAACCTCCCGGCTCCAGTGAAATTTTCCTGAACTCACCAGGAAACTCACCCATTTACTCTCCTGTAAATGGGGATGATAGTAGTTTCTCGCTAGGGTTGTCATGAGGCCCATGCGGGTAGTATGTGTATAACCGCAATGCCAATGGGGTGAGGGGTGCAGATGGAACACTGGCCACATGGTGATCAATGTGGCAGCCCAGTGGGTACACAGGGCTTCGTGATACTGTTCTCCTTCAGGGGACGTCTGAAATTTTCTATAATAAGAGGTTGAAAAGTGAATACTTGTATGATACTACAGTCGTAGATACGTGTCATTACCCATCTGTCAAACCCACAGACTGTAGAACACCAAGAGGGAACCCTAATGTGCACTCGGGTTTGGGTGATGATGACATGTCAGTGTAGGTTGGGGATGTGGGAATTCTCTGTACTTTCTGCTCAACTTTGCTGCGAACCTAAAACTGTTCTAAAAAAGAAAGTGTATAAATAATGAATGCACATAAAGCACTTGGCTCAGGGTCAGACTGGGAGTGGACTTCTATGCTCAGCATCTGGGCCCTCCTTGCGTCTCCACTTCCTTGACCTTTGAGGTCCTGGCATCACAACTGCAGCCTCTCCTCTGGGTGGTCCCTGGGCCTCTCACTCCTCTTCTGCCTGCTCCTTAAATACTTTCCTTTCTTGACACTCTGTTCACATTCTGGTAGCAATGAATTCCTAGGAGGTGAGGGCTCGGGAAGCCCGTCTCCACAGCAAGACTCGTGAAGTCCTTCGCCCCTGCCTCAGCCCCCTCAAGGTTGCCTGGCTGGCTCCTGGATTCCCCAAATCTAGGAAGTTCAAACTTTTCTTCTTTTTCTGACCTCGGACTGCTTCTTTGCCCCCGGATGTGCCATTCCAGCAATACTCCTTATAGTTTCTTGCTGGTTCTCACTTAATGCTCATTAAAGGGGAACAGAACTGCCATCTTCAAGAAATGCCAAATAGCTCACGTGACTTGGGCTTCGAAGTCCTGATCTCAAAGGCATCCAAAGTCAAGTGCTGCAGGTAGACACCCTAGCTCTTGAGGGAGGCTGTGGGGAGTGAGGAGGCACCTGGCTGGTTTTAATCCTCATCCCTGTCTCTCCCGGCCTTGGAGGTGTCTGAGGAAGTTGGTGGGTTTCCTGCATCCCCAGAGGGCAGAATCATCTCTCCTGGGCAGGGCTATGGGGACGCCAGTTGGGGAGCTGCCTGACAGTGGCAGGAGCCCTGAAAACAAAGGCTGCGGGAACAGGTCCCTCCCCGCAAGGACAACGCCACCCAGCTCCCCACTGAATGCACTCGATTCGACTGGGGGCCACTAATTTATTAAGAGGTCATCGAGAGGGCGGGCCCCCTGACAAACTGCAGGAGCCATCTGCTGCGCTAAGGGTGGTGATCAGGTGCCCCTTTAGCGCCCCTGCCAGCCTGACTCCAAGGAGGCCCCTTCCGGCAGAGAGCAAGGCAGGAGGCGGCCAGCGTCCTGAAGCGGCCACCAGGTGTGGCTCGTCGGAAGGACTCGTGCTGGAAACAGGATTAGCCCAAAGAACAGCAAGTGGCTCTGGGGTGGAGAGGTTCTGGGAGATGCCCCGCCCCTGCAGGGCTGCTACCACATTCGTGCAGTGAGGGGGCGGCACGCCCCGGGGCCCTTGTAGCTGCAGGTGCTTGGGGATCAGGTGGGGGCTCCCCAGGGGAGGCAGCTTTAGAAGAAGGAGATGGGCACCTGACTTCCCCTGTCCAAGTGAGCCCCCCCACCAGTCACACTTGGGCCCCGGTCCCTGCCTCGGAGCCCCGACGTGTTGGGGCAAGAGCGTTCCCGGCTGGGCGCGGGGTCAGGCCTCGGCCCTGCCCTGGCGCCACCACTGCCTTCTCCCGGCCGGGCACACGCAGCCTCCCTCAGCCTGGTCCTTGCGCTCGGCCGGCTAGCTGGCCGTGGTCCTCCTCGGGATGCAGCCTTCCATCTCCAGCGCCTCAGGCCAGCCTTCGTACTTATTGGTGTGCTTACTGTTCTTCACGTGCTGTGGGGTTTGGGGAGCAGGAAGTCATGGCCTCAGCCCTCAGGCATAAGGGTCAGACAGAGCTTTCAGTCCCCTTCTCATCTACAAAATGGCAATCGCTTCCCTCACAGGTGGAGTGTGGGGGAGCCAACTGCTCTGCATGTGTGTGGGCCTGGCACACACAGGGAAGGTAAGGAGGGAACATGATGTACGTTCCCGCCCTCACCTGGCCCGCAGGGAGCTGCTGGAAGCTTCAGGAAGAACAAAGCCAGAGGGCGCATTTCTTCTCGGGGTGCTGAGTTGCTCTTTTCTGGCAGCCAGAGCCTTCCAGAAACCACTGAACAGCCTATTTGCCTTGTCCTGCTGGGGGCGGGGGGCGGGCGGCAGGACTGGGGAGCACTGTGGCTTTCACCAGGCTAGGAGCCTCCCACAGATGAGGATGGTGCCTGGGGCTTCGCAGACCCTCACGTGGGGCTTGACATGTGTGGCTCTGGAGGAGCAGTCGACCAGAGGGCAGCAGGGGCTGGCGGGAGCAGGAAGTGCGGTGTGAACCAGGGCACTGGGTCGCAGCAGGATGGGACCAGCCTGAGCATCTTGAAGATGTTTGGGAGAAAGATTTCTTAATTGTGAGTCTTGCCATTGTGAAAGCTTTGCCATTTAAAGACCCTGGAGGGGTCAAAGTTACTGGCCTTCCCCATACCGACGGCGAGGGGTCTGGAACTACCCTGGGTAGGGGTGCTGGTGCTGGAGGAGAATTCAGGGAAGCCTGGGGCGTGGACTGAAGGCACACTGGCGGGACGGAGGCAGAAGGGGTGGGCACACTGCTCTGGGCTCTGCACCCGTACCTGCTCAAAGGGGCTCTTGTTCTGCACGCCCTTGGCCCCCACAAACACCCAGCTGTCCCGAAAGGCCAGATCCTTCACGTTCTTGCTGCCCAGATCGCTGAAAAGCTTCCTGGTCTCTTCATTCATCCTGCCACACAGAAGGAAGAGATATAAGCGGTCGCCGTGGGAGGGTGAGGCTGAGGCTGGCCTTGGCAGTCACTTACTTGGTGGCTGGGTCGTCGTAGGATGCCACAAATACCAAGGTGCCTTCATGCAGTGGCCGAATAAACTTCAGCAGATCGTTGACATCTGGGGTGACAGGTCCCATGAAACATGGAGCATCAGGCACCACGGAGTGCCCATTCCCCACCGACCCCTGTTCTCCAAACAAGGAAACTCAAGTAGGGATCAGGCCAGGGACACGCCCACCAAGGGTCGCCAAGTAAGTGAAGGGACAAACTGGTATAAGAAGCCAGGGCCACCCCTATGACCATACACCTGCCTTTTCCAAACCCAAGGAAGTGCTCAAGAAGCTGCAGTGAATGGACAGAGGGCGGCACTTCGGGGGAAAGATGCCCAGTCATTTTGCTGCACATGGTGACCACTCACCTCCTGCCCACATGTCGAAGGCCCGGGCCTCGATGAGCTCACCACTGACCCCTGGGTTGAGAGGGAGGGAGGGGGTCCTGCTGGGTGAGCTGTCAGGGCAACTCCACCCTACCACCTCAGCCCCCCTAGACAAGGCTAAGGACACGGCACTGGCCACTGAGTGCAGACCTTCTGGAAGCTTTTCAAACATTCCCTCATATTCATGCCCACTGTGCCCCCTTGTTCAGACAGCTGCAGCCCATCCAAGGCTGTGGAGGTTCTGTCTGCCATCTGAGGCTCTCCAGGGGCTTCCTAGGAAATCCTCTCCAACTTCCTGGAAACTTCTGGTTCTTTACTGCTACTGTGCTTTTGTTTATTGGGTCACTTCTTCTGTGGAAAATTCAGCTTGCACAGACCCCTTCCCAGGCCTCCTTGGGAATTCCCAGAGGGAAGGGGAGGGGAGGGCCAAGGCCAATATCCAGACGCCTCCTCATGGGGAGGGCACAGGGAAGGAGGGTGGCAGGTCATGACATGGCTTCTCCGATCTCAACTCTGACCCCATATCACAGGCACTCACCATTCACCAGGGCGATGTTCAGTCCACGGCCCACGTTGTCCTTGACACTGCTCATGAGCCTAGCGGGGTGGGGGTGGCAGAGCCCTCAAATGGCACATTTGCTCCACTTCCCTTCACAGATCCAGCTTCCAGTCTCCTATGCCCCCCCACTGTCCACCCCAAGGAGCTCACATTTTATCTTCGAGGCAGATCTTTGGTCCGATGACATTGGCAGCCCCGCTGACCATGCGGAAGGCCAGGTGCTCCTCAGGACACGGCTGGGGCAGGCCGCATTTGTACTTCCTGGCTCGTGGCTCTGAGCAGGGACAGCAGGAGTGACCCACAGGCCTGGCCCTGGGGTCACCTGAGATCTGAGAGGGGAAGGTCAGGACCAGCCCACAGGGAGGCATGAGTGGCCACAGAACAGGGGACCAACAGGGGATGGAGAGGACATGGCTCAGGCCAAGACCAGGGACACTTCCATAGACACTCTGTGTCCTACTGGGGCTGGCCTCAGGGAAAGGGGACAGGGACCTCAGGGAGGCTTTTCTGCCCCCGGTGGGAGAGGGGAAAAGATGTAGGAGGGCTGGCCTTGGCTGTGGCCCTGCCGGGAACAGAGCACAGGTGGGGAAGGAGGGAGCAGCTGGGAGGGTGACTGCAGAAAAGTGGTGACTCCCTCGGGCAGAGGTGGGAGGACAGGAGCAGGGCAGCCTCCGTTACAGGTTAAATTGTGACCCACAAAAGATGTGTTGAAGTCCTAACTCCCAGCACCTTCGAATATGACCCTGTTTGAAAATAGGCTCACTGAAGACATGATTTGTTAAAATGAGCTCATCGTGGAGTAGGGTGGCCCTAAATCCAATGACTAGTGTCCTTATAAGACACAGAAGACAAGACAGATACAGAGGAGAAGGCCGTGTGCAGACAGAGGCAGAGACAGGAGGGACGTGGCCACAAGTCAAGGAACACCCGGGGCCCCTGGAAGCCCGAAGAGGCAGGAAGGACCCTCCTCTGGAGCCTGCAGAGGGGCTGTAGCCCTCCAACAGCTAGATTTCGGACTTCCGGCTTCCCGAACATTCCTGAGAGAAGAAATGTCTGTCATTTAATCCATCCAGTTTGTGGTTATTTTATTGCAGCTGCCCCGGGGAAACTGATACAGATTTTGATGGCAGGAGGCGGGGGGTGGGGTGCAGCTATTACAAGTCCCCCACAAACTGGAAACGGCCTCGGAACTGGGTAATGAAGGGAGGCTGTAGAATTCTGAGGTGCAGCTAGACAAGGTCTAGACTGCCTCATGGGAGTGTTGGTAGAAAGAAGGACGTCAGAGGCACTTCTGGTGGGAGCCCCGACGGAAGGACGCGGAGAGAGAGCACATGGGGCCCGGAGCGCTGCCGCCGATGGGCGCCTTAGAGACACTTCTGACGTCGTCTCGGGTGGAAATGGGGAACATGGTACTGGACGCTGGAGGAAAGGGGGTGCTCGTCATAAAGTGGCAAAGAACTTGGCCAAATCTGGTTCTAATGTTTTGCGGAGAGCAGAACTTGTAAAACACTGAGCTGGGATCCTTCGCCGAGGAGATCTCCAAACACAGCGCTTGAGAGCAAGCCTGGTTTCTCCTTGCTGCGCCCAGTAAGGTGTGAGGCGAGAAAGGGAAGTTGAAAATGGAATTGTTAAGTACAAAGGAACCAGAATGTGTAAATTTGAAAAATACTCAGTCTAATCATATTGCAAAATATGAGAAAGCAGGCTCTGGATAGAACACCAAGGCTGTGGTCGGAGGACCAATTACTAAAGAGCTGAGGCATGTGACTTGTGGTTCCACTCAATCCTGTCAGCAGAAGCCAGGAATCGAGATCTGCGGGGCCCTCCTGTCTCCGACCTCAGAGTCTCATGAATTGCACAAGACACCAACGAGGTTTTTGAGACACTGCCATCCTGGGCTGAAAGGGACAGAAAAAGGACAGAAGGAAGTAAGGATGGCTCTGAGGACAGAGATGGCACAGGCCCAGAGGGTAGGACTACCCCCACCAGAGGGTGCCCCCCCCACTCCAGTGGGGCCAGAGGACAGAGCATTCGGCCACAGAGGATTCTTCTTAGGCCTGGAATCCTGATGGCATTTGCCCTGCTGGGTTTCAACTTGCTGGGACTGCTGACCCCTTTATTCCTTCCAGTTTCTCCCTTTTGAAATGGGAATGTCTATTCTATGCTTGTCTCACCAGTGTATTGTGGAAGCAGGTAACTGGTTTTCTACTGGAGCTCCAGTAGGCTGTGAAGGCTAGTTTGGGGAGGGATGGATGGAGAACAGAGACCCTGGAGGACTTGAGGCAGGCCGTGCTATGAGGGCTGGGCACGGGGGAGGAGTGGGGAGGTGATGGAGCCTTACCTGTGGTCACTGAGTTCTCTGGGCCTGTGGGTACAGAGAGTTGTTTGTGTTAGGGTGGAGGCCTCCAGGGGCCGGCAGCAGGGCGCCCTGGCCCTATACCATGAACTCAAGGTGGAGGGTCAGTCAGGCTCAGGGGCCAGGGGCTAAGCCAGATGCAAGCCCCCTGCTCTGGGAAAAGGGTAAATTACAACTGTAAACAGTACTTGGGGGAAGGGCTACTAATAACAAGGTATAGAGTGCCCTCCCCATCCCAGAGGCCAGGATAGAGCCTGCAGGGAGCAGCTGGGATATTGTCCCCAACGTTCAGCAGAATCCCCCTGCCCCTCACTGACTCCGCTGACTCCAACAGGCCACAGAGTTCTAATTAGCAGGGACTGGAGTTCCCAGCTGAAGCAATTGGGTGGTAGGGGGAGGACTGTGCTGGGTGCCAGGAGACAACCCGAGGGCAGCTAGAGGTGGCCTGCCAGGAAGAGACCGAAACCCCAGGCCACCCCCACCCCACCCTGAGCCTCTGCCCACAGGCCCAGAGTGCCCCCCAGAGCGGCCTCCACAGCAGAGTGAAGAAGCGTCCCACACTTACTGGTGAAGAGTTGCTGGATGCGAGGAAAGCCACTGCCAGGCCCACCCAGGAGGATGCTGACCACGATCCAGGTAAGGCCCACGGTGACAACCAGGGCCACAATGCGGAGGGGGCCTGGAGGCAGGACAGACAGGGGCAAGGCCACCTTGGTTGCCAGTGAGCTCCCGAATGACCCTGGGGCCTCTCAGTACTGAATCTCCCTGCCACTTGGGAAGAAGTGAGCAGAGGACAGCAAGGTGGGGACCTGCTGCCATCTGCCAGGCCTGAGAGGGGGACTTGAGCTCCTGGTAGGCAGAAGGAGGCCCCTGAATCCAGGGCTTTCAGCTTGGTTCTCTGTGGCACGTGTGGAGGAGCCCAGCAGACCTTACTGCTCAAGAGGCTCCAAGCCTCCCTCAGGGGCCCCCTAACTTTCTGCCTCTGAGGCCACCAACATATTTATATCCCATCTGTCCTGTCCTCTTTTTCTCCTGTCATGATGGAGGAGAGGGTCCGTACTCCTTTTGAAGACCAGTTCCTGCAGCTGTTGTGAGCGGGACCCTAAGCTCTCCTCTCAGTGATTGTCATCCTCTCTCACTCTCCTCGACCTGCAACACCGCCCATTGTAAGAAAGCACAGGAGAGGCCCTCCTTCAAATCCCATCCAGCCACTGACTTCTCCCCCCTCCCTTTGTCTTCCCCAGTCTCACCATCCACTCTCTTCCAACCTACTCCAGTGTGGCCTTATCTCCATCACCCCAGCGAAACAGCTTGTGGCCAAGGCCATGTATCACCTTCTTGGAGTCAACTTCCTGGGTCACCCGTTGGCCCCAATCTTCCTGACCTCTCAGTTGGCTGCCCGGTCCTCCTGCTGGAAACACTTCTCCAGTGGCTTCTGTGACAGCACATCCTAACCCCATCTGGATGCTCCTCTACTGCGATACATTTACAAGGCTGCAACCTTTAGCAGTTCTGAACTGCAATTCTTGAGTTCTGCTCGCCACCGCCCACCCTCATCTGTTCCTGCCCCAGCCAAGCCGTCTATCTCAGTTGTCAGGCCGACGGCAGGTTTGGCACCGGTTCTTACCCAGCCCCATCGCCACTCCGGTCAGTTTCTACCCTAAGACCACGCCTCTCCGACACTGCACCCCGCCCCCTCTCCACCTAGCCGCCATGCTCCCTGGAGCAGCCTCTACCACCACTCGTTTTTTCAGACAGCGGCCAGCTATCCGAGTTGGGAGAAATCGACTACCCTGATCCTCCTTTCACAGCTCTTGAAGTCCTGGGAGGTGAAAGGATTTACTCAAGGTCACAGAATGAGTGTTTGTGCGGTGCCCTTCGTTTCCAAAAACCACACTCAGTGGTCTACTCGGGCCCCTCCAGGCAGACCTTCGGACACCTGGGCCTCCAGTCCGGTCCCCTTTCCAACAGGCACCCGTTCACTGTGGAAGCCACCCACCTGCCAGCCTCATGTCCACTTCTACCGCTGGGTTGGGGCCGCCGGCAGGTGCACTGTTTGGGGACCGTGCGCTCTGGGGACAATAAAGCAGAAGAGCAGGTTTGGGTGGGACTCAAGGATGAGCCTGGGCTTGGCTCCTGTTGCTAGGAGGTCGCGATCGGTGCACCGGGTTGTTCGTCCAACCAGCTGGTCAGGCTTCTCGCGCATGCGGAGAGAAGCCCTGCCAGGGCAGGAGGGTCCTCCGGAACTCGTCGGCTCACGATCGTGCCCACGGGAGCCTCTGGGGCCGCGGAGTAAAGGTGGTTCTCCTGGACAGAGGCCTCCTCCGTTGGAGGCCCTGAGCTCAGGCCGCCCCCCTCCGCCCCAAGGCTGGGGGCGGACGACACGGGCTAGGCTGGTGGAGACTTGCCTGGCCGTGGGGGAGATGCGAGCTGGGTTGGGGGCAGCCTGGTCAGGCCGGCCGCTCGGCTCCGCTCCGCGACGGGAGGCGAGCGAGGTGCGCAGCTCTGCCCGACAGGCCCGGCAATGGCGGCCCGGGGCGGGGCCGCGGCCCGCAGGCACCACCCCTGCCGTCCGCTCGGGCCCTGCCGCCGGGCGGTCAAAGGAGAGGCGGCTGTGGAGTCCCCACCCCGGGCTCCGCGCGCCCCCGCCCACAGGCCCGCCTCCGCCACGCGTCCTGGGCGCCGGGTGGGCGGGGCCCGCGCCGGCCCCGCCTCTGAGTGCGCTTCGCGGGGGCGGCCCGGCCGCCGCAGGGGAGGAGCCGTGTGGCCTCCGCCGGATCCCACGTCGGCTTTGAAGCACAAGTCTCCCCTCAGGCTCCTCCAAGGTGGGAGATGCCAGCCTTCCTAGGCTTCGAGGGCTGCGGTTGAGCTCGTGGCCTGCAGTCGGATTCCTGAAGCCTGGGCGAAGCGGATGGATCTGGGGGCGTAATTGGAAATTGTTTTAAAATTGAGATGTGTGTCTTTCAGAAAGCTGGAGGCACAGGAGAGTACACGGGGGAAAACAGGAGAGCGCGACGAGCCCGAGGCCAGAGCGCTGCCTTTCCTCACACTGTTCTCTAGACGGAAGCACGTCCACACGGTCTCGCGTGTCGCCGACGGCGGCGAGCTCCTGCCCGCGCCCCTCCTGCCCTCCCGAGGCGGGAAGGCAGCCGTGACACCGCCCAACGCACCAGCAGAGCGGCACCCGCCTCGCTCCCTGCAGGGCAGCAGCCCGGCGGCCTGAGAGCCCAGGAAGCATCTGTGCCCTCTGACCCAATCATCCCACTTACGGGAACCTTCCTAAGGAAAGAATCCAAAATAGATAAAGCTTGTAGTGCCAGGCAGTGACAGCTCTGGCTAGAATCCAGTAGCTTCTCCGTTGGTATACACAACATACAAGATCAAGGTAGTCAGTTTCAGGCCCCTGCTGCTGCAGTCGGGGATTAGTATTTTTTTTTTTTTCTTTTTCATGAACTTGGGATCAGAGATAATGCTGACCATCCGTCAAACGTACAGATCTGTGAGTAGGGAACCCTGGGTACGACGGGTCTTTCCTGCAATGCTTGTAGTTGTGCCCAGTGGAGGGAGCTCCTGGCTACCCACACTCTTGGGCGGCCAGCCAGGCATGGGGCACCTGCCAGACTGGTAGCTCAGAGACAAGTGTTTACATCTTGCTCAGAGCAGGCATTTCAGAAAGTTTGGTTTAATGAGTCCCCCTGAGGGTCCAGAGGCACATCCACCATCCCCACAGGCACCACCTAAGTGATGGGATCCAATTCCAGATCTTCTGGGCCTTCTGGGGCAGCCTTGCACAACTCCCTTATTTCCTCTGGGACTGCTTTTCAGTCAGGACATAGAGAGGATTACACTCTCATGTCCTAGGCCCTCATGTCTCCTCCTGCCCCAGTGCAGGCAAGGGGCGTGACGTAGCACAGAATGTCTCCTCTGGGTGCTCTTACCTGTGCCATAGCTGAGGTGCCACTGGAGTCCTCAACAGCTCTCTCATTTGCTTCTCTCAGTGTAGACGCTGAAGCGGAGTTATCAGTTGATGGCCATCATATGGGCCTGCGTGCTTCTACCCCTGAGTCGGTCTCCTCACCTGGGACCTCTTGCCTCGACTCTAGATTAGGCGATCAGATCTCAGGTGACAATTGATTGCTCCCACCTGGTCCGTCCTGCCTCTGCCTGTCTTCAATAACCCACAGCTTAAGGGCCAGTGGAATATGGCCTCAATGGCCCCTCCTTCCACTTTCCAGAACAGGCAGCAAGATTTGCACATGACTGTCCTCATCTGGGCTCTCCCATCTCTACCTAGTGCCTCATTCTCCTTTCTTGCACGGGGGTCAAGACCTGGGCTTGCACTGTAATGCCGTCACCTGGGCCCTCACATCTCAGGCTGCTGTAGCCACACTCTGATGGGGCTCGGGTCTCTGCCCCAGCATAGCTCGCACCAGCTCACACGGCTGCAGCGCTCCGTGGGCATCGCGTCTTAGGTTCTCGCTCTCCGTCTCAGGGTAGGGATCCAGATCTGAGCTAACAGTCAAATGACCTCACCTGTCCCTCATTCCTCCACCCGAGGTTAGGCACCAGGAGCTGAGGGGAAAGGTGACTCTCCACTCCTGACCCTTAAGCCTTGCCTCAGTGTCAGCATCCAGAAGTTAAAGGTTAGTTGAACGTTGAAACTTGGGCCCACCCAGAGCTGAGGGGACTGTTGGCTGTCCTCACATGGGCCCTCCTGTTCCGTCCCCACATAGAGATCTAGAGCCAGTTGAAAGCCCTTATGCCTCGGGGCGCCTGGGTGGCTCAGTCGTTAAGCATCTGCCTTTGGCTCAGGTCATGATCCCAGGGTTCTGGGATCGAGCCCCGCATCGGGCTCCCTGCTTGGCGGGAAGCCTGCTTCTCCCTCTCCCACTCCCCCTGCTTGTGTTCCCTCTCTCACTGTGTCTCTCCTGTCAAATAAATAAAAATCTTTGGAAAAAAAAAAAAAAAAAAGCCCTTATGCCTCAGCACCCATGTTGCCACCCGGACCTGAGGTGACAGATGGATCTCCTCACTGGGTCTATCATCCCTCTTCCCCATTGTAGGGCTCCAGAAATGAGGTGACACTTGTCTTAGTTCAGCAAGACCCTAACTACTGTCAGATCGTATTCACTCAGAGCTGAGATGACAGCTTAATGTCCTTACTTGGGACCTCATGCCTCTTCCCCATTGCAGGTTCCTAGAGCTGACAGTTGACTGTCTTCATCAGGTCCCTCTCTTTGTTCCTCAGTCATCCAGGGTCAGGTGACAGTTGTCATTACCAGGGCCCTTATGTGTATGCCCCAGTGTAGCACCCAGATCTGGGGTGTCAGTTGACTGCCCTCACCTGGGCCCTTGTGCCTGTCACAGTAGAGACGGAGCAGGAGGAGATCAGGAGGTCCCAACACTCTGCCCTCCCCACTCACACACGGTCATCACGTGTTGGGGGCCCCAGAGGAGCTGGGTCCCTCCTCTACTTTGGGCTCCTGCTGCTGCCCTTATGTGGATCTTCCCACACTTCCAGAAGCATCCTCCTTGGTGATGCCAGGCCAGTGGGTTCCCCAGGGGGCCTGGGAAGCCAAGAGGATTATCCCTGGAACACAGCTCTGCTGGGTCCCCCCGAGTCTATGAATGTCTGTGGGGCTCTGCAAAGGACTCTGAGCTTGAAGACCCCTCCTAGGGTCAGGAAGCACTCCCACATGTTCATTTATTTGGCTTCTCCCTGACCCCCAAGGGTTTGAAGTTATCCTCAGGTCTGTATCTTGAGGATTTGAGGTTCCAGGGTGGTGGGCCTTAGCGGCTGGGAACTTAAGAGTAGGCAGGACAGCACCCTCTGGTGGTAAGCGGGGGAAGGCGTGGCCACATCTTCAGGGACCCATTCTGCCCCATTCCTGGCCACCATCTCTTGTGTGTCACCCCAGCTCATCTGCCCATCCCAGGCATGAGGCTGCACCATAGTCAAGGGCAAGACCCTCTGTGGCTACGTGGGAGCCAAAGGGTTACAGGGGAGCCCAGGAGTTCCTAGGCTGGCCCCCACTAGCTCCTGGGGAGGCCTTTGCCACGGCCCCCTCTCCAGGAGGCCACAGGCACCAGAAGGACCAAGGCCACTGCCTGCTGGCTGAAGCCTGGCCTCCAATCCTGTCCACATGGAGTCTTCTCGGCTGCTCTGCATGACCTGGGCTAGGAGGGATCCTGAGGTCCAGATCCCACCGAGGAAAATGACCACTTAAAGGTCTGTGATCTGGGGCGCCTGGGTGGCTCAGTTGGTTAAGCGACTGCCTTCGGCTCAGGTCATGATCCTGGAGTCCCGGGATCGAGTCCCACATTGGGCTCCCTGCTCGGCAGGGAGTCTGCTTCTCCCTCTGACCCTCCCCCCTCTCATGTGCTCTCTCAAATAAATAAAATCTTAAAAAAGTCTGTGATCTGTCCTAATCCCATGAAGCTCCTTCCTTCCCTGTTTAGGTGACCTTGGTGATTTCCCTCCTTCCTTAACCTGAAGGCACCACCTCCCCTGGTTATAGGAGGGGACGGGGAGAGTGCAGATGGCACCCAGGGGTGACATGCTAGCCTCGCTTATGGGATGAGAAAAGCCCACCATTACAGTTTCTTCTTTATTTATGTATTGTTCCCAGGTGGGAACCTTGGCTCATCCCCCACAGCCAGCACTCTGCCTGTCAGGCTGTGCCCGTCTTCCTCACCCTCACCAGGCCTCCCACCTGTTGCCATCCCAGCCCAGGGGGACCATGCAGGAGGGAGCCCAGCTGGTTCTCAGTGGGAGGACCAGGAGAGGCCCAGATGGTCAGAGCAAAAAAAGCTCCAGGCATTTGCCTCCCAAGCAGGGTGGGGGACAGAGGGGCCAAACCCTGACAACCACAGCGCCCTGGGCTAGGTCTTCACCTGGCCAGGAGCAGAGCATCCCTCCTGATTTTCTGGGCTGCTTGTTCCCTCCATAAAATGTACCACCATCGCATCATTTTGTCCTTTTGTTCCTGCTTGGTTGCATCTCCCAGAGCCCAGGCTGAGGAGAGCTGGCGGAGAGGGCAGGACAGACACTCGGGCTGCCACCTTTGTGGGGAGTGTACTGGGATGAGCAGTGTCCCCCCAATGTGTGTCCACCTGGATCCCTGGAATGTGGCCTTGTTTGGAAATGGGAGTGTTTACAGAGAGAATCAAGGTAAGTTAGACTGAGGTCATGGAATGGAGTGGGCCCCTAATCTGATATGACAGGCATCCTTCTAAGAAGAGAAACCAGGAGGAGACACACACGCATAGACACAAGGCAGAGCTGGGGGAGGATGGATGTCTGCTGTCCTAAGCTCCCCCTCCCCGGCTGTGCTGCCATACCCCCACCCCGGCATCCGGGGTCAGTCACAAAAGCCCATTGCCTCTCCTTCCTAAGTACTTCTTGCCTCCGTAGACTGGCAATGCGTGTAAACGGCCCTCAGTGATTCTGTGACGTGACCTCGCTGTGGCAGGGACAAGGTCAGGGCGGAGGCGGCCCATGTGGGCAGCAAGTGCAGTGGAAGCATTCGCTGGAAGGTGAAAATGAATGTGACCCAATCTCGTACCCCTACACGGTCTGGTGATGAAATTCCGTGGAGTGGGGCAGGGTGAAGAGCACAGATGGTGGGGGGGGTACCTCTCAGGAGGCAGCTGGGCTCAGTCATGACTAGACGTGGGGTCAGGGGTGAACAAGGCCCAGACTGCCAAGCCCACGCTGGGGAGGGACGTGGGTGACAAGAACCGGGTGAGGGATGGGTCCACTGGCAGGAAGGAAACAAGCAGGGAGCAGGCGGGTGTGTTTGTGGATTTAATGGCAGGGGCTGAGATGGGGTGCGCCACTGGCTGTTTCTGCTTTTCCAGTGGCAAGGGGGCCCCCTGTAGGTGCACTGAAGTCGGTGGGCCATGGAGTGCAGAATTGGGGTAGTGGGGAGAGCTGAGGGGGGCAGAGGGGCATTCAGGGGGCCCAAGACACCGGGGACTGCTGGACAGCAGGGAGGTCCCTTCCAGCGGGTGACCAGGAATGTCGAGTGGCACTGAGACTGGTGTGAAAACACTTGACCCCTTCCCCCCAGTTCCAAGGACCTTGCTCATAGCCAGCAGGAGTGTGGGGTGGCCACTGGCCCACGGATGCCCGCCCACTGTCCCCTCCATCATCCCTCACTCCTGTCCCTAGGTGGAGGAGCCCAGGACAGGTGGAAAAGCCACTCTGCTTCCTTCTGCTGGGGCTCAGTCCAGTGGACAGAAGCTGGCTCAGGAAGGGCCAGTGGCAGCTAGAGATGGTCACAGCGCGAGTCTCGAGTGCTTGGTGGTTGCGGAATGTAGCTAGGCCCGGGGTGGCTGGGGGCCAGGAATGTGAGGCTAAGGCCTATGGTCCTGAAGCCCTCCCGATGTGAGGCTGGGGGGGCAGGGAAGTGGGAGGAACGAAGACAGACAGGGCCAAGGTGGGTGGGGTGGGGACCTGGGGCTCAGGGCTCAGAGCTTGTGGGGATTCACCCACTTGTAGGTGCCCTCGTACTGGAAGCCCACTCTCTTCATCAGCTCATCTGCCTCCGCGGGGCCTCGGCTGGGAGAGTGATAGGCAGAGGGGAGATGTGAGGGAGCCCCTGGGCTCCTGTGCCCCAACCCCGCAGTCCCATCCTTCCCTCCCTGCCCGGCCCCTCACCTGCCATAAACATAAGGGATGGGCTGGAGCTTCTCGCGCTCAATCTTGTGCAACAACGGTGTAAAGATCCGCCAGGCTTCCCGGAGCTCGTCACTGAGGGGGCACAGTATGGCTTTGGGGGGTGTTCATGGGGGCAGGCAGGGGGTAAGGGAGGGAGAAGGCTGCCGCATCACCTGGAGCCCAGCTCAGCCCCAGCACACACGGGGGGCACAGGGAACCCCTCACCTGCGCACAAAGTGCATCTGGTTCCCACAGAAGACGTCCAGGATGAGGCGCTCGTACGCATCGGGGAGCTTCACGTTCTACAAGGAGGAGGGTCCCTGCTGAGGCCGCCTGTCCACGCACAGCCCCCCAGCCACCCCCTACCCCGGGCCACGTGTCCACCTTGTATCTGTTGCCGTAGGTCAGGTCCAGCTCGGACTCCTCAGGGTTGAAGAACATGCCGGGCTTCTTGGTCATCATCTTGGTGTACACGGCCTCGTTGGGCTGCACGCGGATCACCAGCTCGTTGCGCTTGCATTGCTGCTGGAAGATGTCGCCGGCCACGTCGCGGAACTGCAGACGCACCTCAGCCTTGCGCTCGTTGAGCGCTTTGCCGCAGCGCAGGATGAACGGCACCCCTGTTCGGGGCACAGCTGGCTTCAGGACCTGCCCTGCCGGGGGCCCAGGCGGGAGGGAGCGGGGCTCCCCGGGGCTATGGCGGCCCCGCCTACCAGGCCCGGAGGCGCCACCTACCGTCCCACCTCTCGTTCTCCACATAAAGGACAACGGCTGCAAAGGTCGCAGTGGTGGACCCGCGGGGCACGGTGGGGTCATCCAAGTACCCTTTGGTGGACTCCCCCTCTCCGTTGGGGTTCCCGACATACTGGCCCAGGACCACGTTGTCTGCTTGCACCTCTGAGATACATTTTAACACCTTGACCTGGGAGAGAGCCGGGACAGAGGGGATCCTTGGGTAAGGGGATGGAGCAGCCATGTGTGGGACAGAAGACAGTAGGCCTGAGGAAGCCAGGGGACCTAGCAGGGTGGGCTTCCCGGCGGAGTGACTGGTCAGCACAGACAGGAGGACATGCATCACCCTGCTGAGGCCATGGCCATGGCTCTCCTACCCAAGGGCTCCCTGGGACCACCTGGACCCGCCCCCATCTTCTTCTGAAGGAGAGGCGATGGGTCTGCCCAGGGGACATGACAGTCACTGCCAGTCCTGGCAAAAGGGACCAGGAGGGGGCACCTCCACCCACCTTCTCATCACGGACGTCATCGGAGTCCGTGGAGGCAGGCTTCTCCATGGCCACCAGACACAGCATCTGCAGGAGGTGGTTCTGCATCACGTCCCTGCAGAGGGAGAAACAAGTGGAACTTGGCTCGGGGGGCATTTGGGCGGGGAGGAAGGAGCAAGGAGGGGGCTCACCTCCGCCCCCTCCCTGTCAGCCAGGTTCCGGGGACTCAGCACCTCAAATAGGGCTTCCTAGCAACAGGCTATGGGACTTGCTTCCTGAGCTCACATCTACCATTGAGGGCCCCCTAGGCAAGGGAAGAGACAGTGAGCCCTCCCTTCACAGCCACCACTGACCACTTAAGACACCCACTTGTGAATCTGAATTTTGGGGTGGGAGGAGCTCCCCAGAACAGGGAGGGGTGACCCTGCAGAATGGCAGGATTGCACCCCTTGCCTGTGCTGACCTCCCAGGAAAGGAGACAGGCTCTCACCGGATGATCCCAAATTCATCAAAGTAGCCCCCACGGCCCTCAGTGCCAAAGGGCTCCTTGAAAGTGAGGATGATGCAGGCGATGTTGTCCCGGTTCCAGATGGGGCCAAAGATCCTGTTGGCAAACCTGTAGGAGGGGCAGCGTGGAGGGTGCTGCTGTATCCTTGGGGGCAACAGCAGGATGGGCTGGGCCCCATGAGCGCCCAGCCCAGACCCAGTCCCCATCCACCCTGTCGCCCAGGCCTGGCCCTGGCCACACCTCAGCACCATGAGGTTCTGGACCATCTCCTTGCCCAGGTAGTGGTCGATGCGGTAGATCTGGTCCTCGCGGAACAAGGAGGAGATATGGTTGGACAGCCTGTCGGAGCTCTGCAGGTCCCTCCCGAAGGGCTTCTCCACAATGACACGGTTCCAGCCTCTGTGGGAGCCCAGAGCTGTGTCACCCCACACCCTCCCTGGGCAGCAGGGGCCAGAACTTCACCTTCCCCCAGGTCTCTCTCCCTGAGAAGAGGCAGAGCCTTCCCTCCCCATCTGCATTCTTAGGTGACTGGCAAAGCTCTGCTAGGTGGGCCCTTCTGCCCCACCTTGGCAGAGTCCCCAGACCTGAGGACACCTCCTGTCCTCCCCAGCCCTCAATGCCACACTGAGAACTTCCTCAGAAGCCTTCCTGCCTGACCCGCTGGTCACGAGGATAAGTGGTCCCGCTCCCTCCCAGTCCCACACTGGGAGCAGGTGGGGGAGCAGGGGGAGGGGATGTCAAGGGCACAGCTGCCTCTGCGGATTTAAAATGGCCAAAGGTCCCTTTCTTTGCTATTCCCCATGAACAGTTAATGTGAAACTTTGCGTTCGAAACCAGAACAAAGTGAAACAGATGACTGTGTCTTTGAGAGAAAGACGGACTGGCGAGCCAGCGCTCAAGAGGAAGCAAAATTCTTGTGCAGCAGTACCGCCACCTTGTGGTCATGAAGGGGACCTGGGGAAGCACCGAAAAACCAGGGAATAAGCGACCGGCAGCAGGAGTTTCATGGAGCAGTACCGCCACCTTGTGGTCATGAAGGGGACCTGGGGAAGCACCGAAAAACCAGGGAATAAGCGACCGGCAGCAGGAGTTTCATGGAGCAACACTGCCACCTTGTGGTCATGAAGGGGACCTGGGGAAGCACTGAAAAACCAGAGAATAAGCGACCGGCAGCAGGAGTTTCATGGAGCAACACTGCCACCTTGTGGTCATGAAGGGGACCTGGGGAAGCACTGAAAAACCAGGGAATAAGCGACCGGCAGCAGGAGTTTCATGGAGCAACACTGCCACCTTGTGGTCCTCGCAGGAACAGCGGCCAGGGAAAGTTCGATTTCTAGCAAGATGGGCCAAGGAGGGTCATCAGGAAGATTTTCAAGGTACGTAAGTGCGGTAGCATTCTTGGTAAATGCTATTAGAAAGCCCCTGTATTCATACCCTATTCTCTTCTTTGGAGAGCTAACTCATGTAGAGAACAAACAGGGGTCACCATCTTTTTCAGACTCGGTAGACTAGTTTGCCCCAGGGACTCTGGACAACTGCCAGACCAGGACAGGGCACACCTAGGAAGCAGGAAAGGCAAAAGACAAGCCTTACGTCTGGCTCATGCAGGTCTCGTGGATGTTCTTGGTGACTGCCTCATAGACTGTGGGGGGCAAGGCCAGGTAAAAGAGGCGGTTGGCCTGGGGCCCCTGGTGGAGGGCATTCATGTGGCTGTTGAGGCGCTCGTAGGAGGCCGTGTCGTCATACTGGCCAGCCACATAGGAGTTGCGGGCAAAGAACTCCTCCAGCTTGGGCTTCTCCTCTGGTGTGGCCTGAGAAAGACAGATACAGGGACACTGGCCCCTCCCTGGCCCTCCCTCTCTCATAGCCTGTAGCCCCAGCGGGCTCCGCCATAAGTCAGTCACCCTAACTCCACACTGGGTTCAGCCCCATCTCATCACCTATGCCCACCTACAGGGGGAGGCCTCGGGCCCTGACACAGAAGTTACATTTCAGGAAGCTGTGACCTGGCAGAGCTCCCTCCGAAGTCAGGACACCAAACTCTGGTGTGTTGGGAAAAGGCAGATGTGTAAGATTTCTGTGCTGAAGACACCGTTTCAGCTCCTGGCCCGGGCGGTGGGGGTGGCGGCGGCGTGGGAGGCACAGCAGGGAGGACCCAGCGTGTCCAGGTCAGAGGGGAGCTGGAAACAGGGGTCTCAGGCCGGAAGGGTCCCTGCACCTCGCCCTACGCTACTTCTGTCCTCCAAGAAGCGGCAAGAGCAGGTGACCGCTCTGGGGAAGGCAATGGGGAGAAGTGCTAGGGCAGGAGAGGCTCCAAGGGGGTTTCCTAATGTGGCCCTGCCCCTCTGCCATGGCCGGGGAGAAGGGGGCCTGTCCCAGGGAAGAAGCAACAGAGAGCAGGAGTGGGAGGAAGGAAAGGCCTCCTTGGGTGGGATGGGAGGGGGGCTGTCCCTCCTGGAGACCCCTGGAAGCCACTCACTTTGAAGAAGGGCTCGCTCTGTTTCCGGATGTCGGCCACTGTGAGGCGGGAGCGGGCGTAGCCCACGATGAAGGTGTCTTCGGGCAGAAGGCCATCCCGGAACAGCCACCTGAGGGCACGCCATGGCTGTGGCCGGGATGGGGAGGGCGGGGAGCGCTGGGGACAGTGGGACGGTGGGGGGACACGCTTACCAGATGGTGGGGTAGATCTTCTTCTTGGCCAGGTCGCCCTGTGGCAGAGGGAATAGGCATGGTTAGGAGACGCTGGGGGCATGACCTAGATGGTCTCCTCCCTTTTGACCTGGGCACCCGCTCAGGGTCAGCACTCAGCCGCAAGCATATCTCAAGTGGGAGACTGTGCTAGCTCTTTACCCTGACCCTGAGCTGCCTGCCCTGCAATCACACAGACCACGGTCTCTGGTCACAGTGCAAGCAAGTGGAGCCACACCCAGGCCAAAGAGGCTGCTGCTAAACAGCCCACAGGCTAAAGAAGAAAACCTGAAAACTCTAGAACCAAATGGCAACAACCTATGGGATGTGGCCTGAGATGCTGCCTTTAGCTCGGGACTAATGAGCTCAGGGCCTGATTTAAGAAGTCAGACAAAACAGTAGAATTTTAAAGCCAAACAAATTACAAAGCAGGAAATAATGAAAAATAAGAATTAATAAAACAGAAAATAAGCCAAAAGAAAATATCAAGAAAGCCAAAAGCTGGTGTTTGAAAAGGACTAATAAAAACAGACAACCCTCTGGGAAGACTACTTTTTTAAAAGGCACCAAGAATTAGGAGTGAGGGGCGCCTGGGTAGCTCAGTTGGTGAAGCGTCTGCCTTCGGCTCAGGTCATGATCCCAGCGTCCTGGGATCGAGCCCCACGTCGGGCTCCCTGATCGGCGGGAAGCCTGCTTCTCCCTCTCCCACTACCCCCTGCTCGTGTTCCCTCTCTTGCTGTCTCTCTCTCTGTCAAATAAATAAATAAAATCTTAAATAAAAAAAAGAATTATGAGTGCAACAGGACAAAAGTACAATCAGGAAAACACGGAAGGGGATTATGATGAACAACCTTATGCCATGTCTGACAACTTAGATGAAACGGACAAATTTCTATAAAAATCCAGTCTACCAAAACAGAGACAGGGACCTGAGTGGGGAGTGGTCATTAAGGAAACTGGATCGTGGCCATAAACTTTTCCACCAAGGCATCTCCAACACTGACCCTGGTGCTGGAACACTTCATTGGTGGATTCTACCAAAATGCCAGAAACAGGGAAGTCCATTCTGAGGCAGACTCTGCCTATAATCCAGAATATATAACCTACTCCTACACCATAATAAGGAAACAACCCAATGAAAAAGTGATCAGATACTTCACAAGGAAGAGAAATGAAGAGCTAATAAACACACGAGAAACTGCTCAAGATCATCAGTTGTCAGGAAAACGCAAATGAAGCCACTAGATGCTGTTTCACGTCCATTAGAACAGCTGTAATCCAGAAGACTGACAACACCAAGCGTTAGAGAGGATGTTCACAGCAGCCTCAACTCACAACAGCCCTGCGCTGGAGACAACCCAGATGCTCAATCACCAGGTAGATGGACAAGCTGAGAATGAAGCTCTAGGATAGGCAAAACTAATCAACTGTGGTAGAAATTACATCGCTGGTTGTTTGGGGTGGATTGACCGGGATGGCCATCTAAGAACTTCCTGGAGAGATGGCAAGAAAGGCCCTATATTTTTTTGTTTGTTTTGTTTTTAATTATTTATTTGAGAGAGACAGAGAGAGAAAGAGAGAGAGAGAGAGCATGAAAATGGAGGGAGGGGCAAAGGGAGAAGGTGGAGGAGAATCTCAAGCAGACTCCCTGCTGAGCATGGAGCCCAACTTGTGGCTCGATCCCAGGACCCCAAGATCATGACCTGAGCCGAAATCAAGAGTCGGATGCTCAACCGACTGAGCCACCCAGGCGTCCCTCATCACACTACTGTGTAGACTTTGTGGATGTGCGAAATTTTCCACAATAAAAAAAAAGGTATGAACACGTGGCAACTTCAAGCAACAATATGGCAGATCCCAGAAATTCCACAGAGGACTCCCTAGAAAGAATCACAGAGTTCCTTCTCCCCAGGCTCCAGTTCGGTCACTGCAGCCATCCCAATATGCTTTAATTTTGTGACCTGACAAAGGAATTGTCTCCTTCAGGTGGAAGAGGAAGGGGCAAGAATGGCCACAGGCTCCTGAAGAACAGAAGAGCAGAGCACCCTTTCATCTGCCTACCCTGTAATTAGAGCGTGGGATGGGCCTGGGCTGTGAACCCATGCTCCACCGAGCATTGCCAATCAGTGGGGAGAGAATAAGGCAAGCTGGGGTGCACTGGACTTGCCGTAGTTAGAAAAACGAACTCCAGGGATAAGGACCTGAATATTCAATGCAAAATTACCTTTTAGTAGCCATGTAACCATTGGATAAGCTCATTTCTATGAACTTATGAACCCACAAAATGGAAGCCACATGATCAGAACCAAAGTAATGCCAACCTGGTTCAATCCCCACCAGGGATAAGCAGTTAGGAAGGCACTCAGGGGGCTCTGGGGTGGGAAATCCCTGCTCTGGGTGGGGGCAGGTGCAGGCTCAGGGGCGCCTTGTGCCTCGAACGCGCGAGTTTCCTCCTGTTCTTTGCTCTACCTCAAGTCTCCTGGGGTGACCTGATGTCCCCCCAGGGCTTTAGGTGAGGACTTGCAATGTGGACCCCTCCACGTGTGTATCCCTGCCCAGACTTTAGTGAGCACTGAACCCACACAGTCAAGTGTCTACTGGTCATCTCCAGGCTCCCCTGGAACCCCAAACTCCCAAACCGGGTGTTTCCCGAAGCAGGGTTCCCTGTGTTGGTGCCCCTGCTCACATCTGCTAACTGTTCACCATTCATCTCCCGAGCAATCTGGAGTGGGTCCCTGTTGTAACGGCCACCTTCACGATGGCTGCTGTCACTGGTCCTTCATGGTCCGACTCCAGCCGCCAGCCCGGGAAGCTAGCTCCCTGCCCATGTCCCTCATTGCCCAGGGGCCCCCACTATGGCACCCTCACAGCGAATCGGCAGTGGCCGCCACTGGCTTCTCCCATCAGCGGGACTGGAGGGATACTCTGCTCAGGTCACCTCAGCCCTGCATGCTCCGGGAGAAACAATCAGAAGCACAGCCCGCAAACGCCTCCCAACCTTCCTTGTGGCAGGTGATGTTTGCTTATGATCAAATTCCAGCGGGCTGAGAGGACTCGGGATAGGCTGCGGGCAGTGGACTGGTAGCAGGGGACTAGTCTCCTGTCTGCTGAGTCACAGTGCCCAACACCCCAAGCTCTTTGTTCCTGCGGCTCCCCTTGGGATTAACTACCGACTGAACCTGCTTGCCTTGTTCAGCTCAGCCCCGGCAACCAGAGGCCTGCTGGGCTCCAAGTCATCCGAGGAAGAGGCGAGAGACGGCCCAGGACAGCGGTAGGGGTCCTGCTCCTCCTCATGGGAAGTGCAGTGGCCGGCCCTCCCCGCGAGCCCCAACCAGATGCCTTTGCAAGACTGAACACGGGAAGACCTCGACCAAACATAGGCACACCGTGTGTGGGGGTGGGGGAGATCACAGGGTCTCTCGGTGAAATGCGCCTCGGAGGCCTCCTGTCTTCCCAACCCCTGTCATTTTTGTCTGAGGACCACAGCAGGGAAAGAGCTGCCCGGGGACATGTGGTGACTTTAGCAGGAGCAGCAGGACCTCATTAAGATCTCCAGCTACCAATATCTGTCCCAGTTGGGGCAAAGGGACTTGGGCCACCGCTTGCCTGTTGCCACCTAGGTTGGACCTCAGCTTCTAGTTTTAAAAGCCCAAACCACCGCTGACATCTCTGTTTGAGGATGTGAGGGCGGAGGGCGCAGCACAGAGCTTCAGAGGCCGCCCGCCAGCTGGAGGCATGGGAGGGGTGGGCCATCCCTGGCCCCCGGGGGTCACCCGGGTCAAGGATCTGTCTGGCCTTATGGGGTGGAGTCTGGGCCCTGGCTGGGGCCCAGCTGGCTCCTGGGAACCGGGGAGAGAGAACCTGGGGGCTGTTGAGGTAGGCTCCCTCCTCCACCCTGGGGCTCATGAATCATCAGGCCTTTGGGGAAGTGCCAAGGTCATCATGACACAGCAAGAATCTTATCGACCCAAGGGGGAAAAGCAGCCCAGAAACATCCCCAAAAGAGGGGGGGAGCCAGGACTACCAGGTCACCCCTCGCCTAGGCGCACATTGGGATGAGGCCTGAACACCCATCAAGTCCATGGTCCTTACGGTCCAGGTGGGGAGACTGAGGTCCAGAGAGGTGAGGGGCTTGCTGAGAACCCTGCAGTGAGCCAATCCTGCCCATGCAGACTCCCTGTCCTGTTCTCTCCCTGCTCCTCCATTCCCTGTCAGGGAGAGTCCTCTAGCCTGTCCGAGGTCCTGTCAGATGGGGGAGGACATGATTTGCCAGGCCCAAGATCTCCCTCTCCCCAACACTGGTCTCTAAGGAGAAACTGGTTTCTTTCATTCCAGAGCTTTCCAGACAGGGAGCGTAAGTATCTCCACGCCCTTCCTGGCTGGGGGTGGGAGTTCTGAGGAGTGGGTAAGTGGCCACATGGGAGGAACAGAGAGCAGCTCAAAGCCTATTGGGTAACTGTGAGCCAGCATGAGGAAGGAAGCTGGGTGTGAGAGCAAGGCAGGTGAGGAAGGGGCAGGGGACAGCCATGTGGGCTACTGGGGGCTCTGCGTGTGCTCTTCTCTCCCTGAACCTGGCTCTGCAGATCTCACGCTGCAGGCCCTCTGCCTGGGACTTGTGTGCTGGAGGTGGCTGGGGACACAAGGGCCCATTTGTGTTTTCGGTCACATGTGCCACTAGGAGCTCTGATTGGGCTACTAACTCCCCTTGGGTCCCTTCCCCCCAGCACAGAGATCACACAGGGAAGGCAGCTCAGTATACTGTAGAGAAGGCACTTGATCACTTTGTTGGGTGAATGAGCAGTGAACTTGCTGGTTTCCCAGAAGAGCAGGTTCTGAGAGGATGTGCCCTCAGCACCACTCTGCCTACCCCTTATTGGAGAGTGGGAGCTGTTCTAGATGCTGCCTGAGCATGGGAGGCCCACCCACCTGGCTCCAGTCCCCTTGAGCAAACAATTCAGGACAAGGGGTGCCCCCCCACCTCACTCTGCTGTAATAGCACTTCCCATTTCTGCTCTGGAAGCGTCTGGTTGTCACTCTCGGAGCAGAGGAGAGCAAAGGGGAACCCTACCAATTGCAAAGAAAAGTTGCTCAACCCCAAGCTGGCCACAGGCGAAGGCAATGAGCTAGTGACAGAATCAGCTCAGCCCGAGGTCCCTTGACATTTGTTTCAAAAGCCCTCATTTGCTCCGCAGAAACACTAGAGGTGCAGAGAAGGAAAGACACTTGCCAGTCATACAGCAAGCTCAGGTGCTCTCAACAAAGCATCTAAGAGTTGAGAGCCTGGAGTCCTAAGCCATTTCTTATGGCCTGGGATCCTCTGGTGGAGCTTCCTATGACAGCCCGGTATGGGGGTGGGGGAAGGAGGAGGAATAATCCTGAGTAACTTTCTCCTCCAACCTGTTTCTTGGACCAAGGGCCTAATGGTCAGAGTCCTAGGTGTGAGACTTTGTGGCCAACACAGGTTTGCCTCCTCTAAGGAGAACATGCTGGGGCAGGGTAGAGACTAAGCCTGCTCCCCGCCACCCCATGTCCCTGGGTCCCCCTACCCTAGGAGTTACGGAGTCGGAGGACAATGCTTGGGGTGGCCCACCTTCCTTCCCTCCCTTCATCCCTCTGGCAGAGCCCTACCCCCACCCCCAGCACTGCTGAGTTCTGATTAGAATCACAAAAGCTGGCGGGGAGCAGGCTCTGCAAAGGGCAGTGGCACCTTATGATACATGAACAAAGAACCAAGAGGTCCATCTTCTAGAACAAAATGGCAGTTCCACAGGCTAAACAACAGGGCGGGGAGGGACAGGTCATAGCTCCTCAGCAGGCCTTGGAAGTTGGGGTAATGACATGGTGTTCAAAGGAAGGTCGAGCGTTTGTTCCCAGGGAACTTGCGGGAGAGACAGACAAGGTGGAGCTCAGGCCTCAGATCCTGCCTTTGGAACGGACTGTGACATCTACCGAGTCACAAACAACTTTGAAAAAAGATACAGAATGAATAGCCTGCCCTGTTTGCAGAACCAAGTTCTGCCAGAGCTAAGGGGACCTTGACATGGAAGGGCACAGAGAGACAATGCCTACTCTGTCAAGAGCTAGCTAGTTTGGGTGGGATTCTTGCATAAGATTATACAAAAAGTTACTGGCAGAAATGGTTACAGGATGGTTAGCAGGTTCTTCGTCATGCCTAGGGTGAAAACGAAGAGAGATCGCTTTTACTTGGAGACAAAACCCCGGCAGCTCATCTTGCCACCCAGCAGATCTTGTTTCCACGTGGCACACCGGCACACGGTGCTTTAGTCTGGGGGTCATGGCTCCACTAGGACCCACCCTCCCTCTGCTGTCGCCCCTCCATCACGTATGGTCCTCTGCCTTTGCTTCTACCCTTTGATCTTCTAGAACAAAATGGCAGTTCCACAGGCTAAACAACAGGCCGGGGAGGGACAGGTCATAGCTCCTCAGCAGGCCTTGGAAGTTGGGGTAATGACATGGTGTTCAAAGGAAGGTCGAGCGTTTGTTCCCAGGGAATTTGCGGGAGAGACAGACAAGGTGGAGCTCAGGCCTCAGATCCTGCCTTTGGAACGGACTGTGACATCTACCGAGTCACAAACAGCTTTGAAAAAAGAAACAGAATGAATAGCCTGCCCCGTATGCAGTTTTCCCCGTGGGGGAAGAAGTCCAATGAGACAGTTTTTAAAGTCCTCCCGGCTCCAGGACACGGGTCTATGGTCAATGACCTATGCTGGGTGGTACTGGGATGAGAGTGGCGCACAGGCAGGACCGAGAGAGAGAGCCCAACTGAGCAGAGCCCCTGGGGCCCCAAGACAATCAGCTGGGAAAGCCCAGGCACCCGGCAGGAAGGGACCCGAGGCAACGTCACACTCTACGCTTGGTTTTTAAGGTGTGGGGCCTGGGGGAGACTCACCGATGCACCCATGATGATGAAGATATGTGTATCAGATTGATGGAAGGCATTGCCCTGGTACAGCTCTTCCCGCAGGATTCCGCACACCTGGGTCCGGCTCAGGGCCACCTGTTCTGCCATGATGCTCTCTGGTTAAAGAAAGGCTCGTTGACAAAGCAGAAGAACAGAAGAGCATGGGGAAGTTGGCCACTTTCTGGAGGGGTCCTTTGAGGTCTCACCCCATGACGCCTGATTATTGAAACCACTCACTGAATGGCTGGGGGCTTAGAAAACTGCAGGCTCTGGGCTCCCACCATACTCCAGGCGGCTTTATTTCACGGCGTACTTTACAGAATTACTCAAAGCACTAGTGGATTCCAGCTAGAGCCTCAACTCTGCGGGACCACGTAAAGGTGCTGGAGCATTGCACAACTTGCCCAGGACCATCTCACCCCGGACTCAAGCGAAAACTCCACAATGAGCTGGAGCACGTTAGACCGTGCCGACGACGGAGTGCAACTCCAGCGCTCCTCCTGCCCAGCTGGGAGACGCCGGCGGATCGCCGCCCCTCTCAGGGTCCCAGTCTCCTCAGGGGTCCAATGGAGGGATGCAGGGGACACTGGGATCGGTTAAACCCTCTCGATTTTGCCCCGCTCCCAAGCATGGCAAATCAAAGGGCCTCGCGGCACAGCACGTTCCTCCGCTGGCGTGGCGCCTAGCCACTACGTTACCTGCGCCTCGCCGCCCTCGAACGCCGAGCTCAAAGCCTCGGAATCCCCGGCCGTTTCCGGGGGCTGCGCCCAGCCGGCTCATTTAACCAGCGGGGGCGGGCGCCTGGGCTGAGCTGACCGGCCTCAGGCGAGGCGCGCGGGCGGGGCCGCAGTGGCCCCTCCCCCCGTGGGCGGGGCGGAGCCCGGGCACGAGAGGTGCGCGCGCATCCCGCGCTGGGCCCCCCCCCCCCCCCGCCCTCCAGCCGCGTAAGGCTCCCACCCTTGGCCCGCCCCGCCCCTTGGGCACCTGCGCGGGCAGCCCGGCTGCCGGGCGCCTTCTCTCCCCACCGCCGCTGCGCTGCGTTCTCGGTGCCTCGCGAGTCCGCGTACAGCTTTGCACCGTTCGCCCGCGTACCCATTGCTGGCTCGGCCCAACCCTACAGTCCAGTTTTCTCGCCCGTCCCGGGCGGCCGTGCGCCCTCGCGGAGGGCTCCACTTCCGCCGGCAGTGTGGCCACGCCTCCTCGACCCTGTTCCTGGGCGGGGCCTTCTGCTGCCCAGCGGGGGCTCCCTATTAGCTCCTCCCCTGGCAGGGGCGGGGCGGCCCAACACCCGAGAGACGACGGGGAGACTGGGTCGCGACTCCCCAAAAAGTAGCAGGTGCTGCATGTCACTAGGAACATCCTGTGGGCCGACCAAGGCTGGCGGACTCGGGTTCCCCTCTGGAACAGCCTCTGGCACACTTTTGCGGGCTCCCGGGTGGGGGCGGGGCTTGCGTGTTTTATTTCCGGATCCCACAGCTACGACACCGGAAGCAGGAAGTGTGAGTTTCGGCAGCGGGAGAAGAGAAGGGTGACCGCAGAAACCGGACTTTTTCGGAGCGCCAGGGCCCGAGGAGTGCTCGCGGCTCGCCGTTCCTGCCCTTCTCACGTCGGACCGACTCTGCTGACAGGTGTGGTCCTCTTCCCGAAGACAGGGTACTATTGGTGGGCGTCCCGCCTCCTCCGAGACACCCCCCGGACGTCCAGGCTTCCCCCTCCTGTTGGGCCGTGGCCCATTTCTGCCGCCTGCTTATAGAGCACCGGCCAAGGCGGCCCGATGCAGGAGGCGAGTTACCTTGGCGGCGAGCGGGACTGTTTCCGCCTCTTCCTCTCCGCCGCCGCAGCGGAGTCTGACCACACCCCTGCTTCGTGGATGACTTCCAGTTCAGAGACATTTTCTGCTCATCAAACTTGACTGCATTCGAGGTTGTTAAATTCTTTTAAAAAGGCCCCAAATATAGTTTGGCAGCTACGTATCTCACTTCCTGTGCCTCAGTTGGCTCACTCTGCAAAAACGATTAATGTCTACCCGACCTCAAATCGTTTCTGTGACTCGAGGATGGATGAGCCATCCTGGCATGTTCGAGGTACAGCAAGGAGGCCACTGTAACTGGTGCAGAGTGAGTGAGGGGAGAATACTTGGAGAGGAAGCAATGAGGGGCCAGATAGTTCAGGGCTTTGCAGGCCGTGTTAGGGCCTTTGGCTTTTACACGCAGGGCAATGAGGAACTGTGGTAGGGAACACTGTAGAGGACGGACATGATCGGAATTATCTTTTAGGGTGATCTGGCCCCTGTGGGAAGAACAAACTATAGGGGACAAGGGTAGGAGCAGGGTGACCTGTTAGGACGTTATTGCAGTAATCCAGATGAGTGGTGCTTTGAGCATTTTGTTGTGAAAAATTTCAAAGACGTACAAAAGTAGAAAGAATAGTATAGTAAATCCCATGTCTTCACTGCCCAGCTTTGACAGTTGTCAACTCATGGCCAATTTTGTTTAATTTATAGCCCTCACAATCCTCTTCCTTTGTTATTTTCAATAACAGCTTTATTGAGATATAATTCTCATACCATACACTTCACCCATTTAAAGTGTACAGTTCACTGGTTTTTAGTATATTCAGAGTTGTGCAGCCATCATCACTCTCTCATTCCAGAACATTTTCATGACTCCAAAAAACCACTTGCCTCCTTAGCTATCACCCCATTACCCCATCTCTCCCAGCTCTTAAGCATCCACCAATCTTTCTGTCTCTATGGATTTGCCTCTTCTGGACATTTCATATAAATGGAATCATACAGTATGTGGTCTTTTGTGAGTTGCTTTTTTCTTTTAGCATTATGTTTGCAAGACTGGTCCCATCTTGTAGCATGTGAACGTACTAGATTTTGTTTACTCATCAGTTGATGGACATTTAGGTCATTTCCACGCTTTGGCTGGTGTGAATAATGCTGCTCTGAGCGTTTCTGGGTGCACATGTGTTTTTGTTTCTCTCAGATAGATACCTAGGAGTTCCCACATTATTTTGAAGCAAATTCCTGACACCGTATCATTTCACCTGTAAGTATTTCAGCATGCATCTCTAAGAAAGGATTAAGAAACAACCACAACACCACTATCACACTTAAAATAGTTAACATTAATTGCATAGTGTCATCAGATAGATTCTGGGATACATTACGACAGGATTTCCTGATGCATTAGATGTGAGCTGTGAGACATAGAGAGGAGTCAAGAGGGACTCTGAGGTTTTTGTCACAGTAGCTGGACATCAGCTAACAATAAGGAGGGCTGTGGGTGGAACTGGCTTTTGGGGCCTGTCAGGAGTGCAATTTTAAGGTTAGTTCTGAGAGCACTACCAAATATCCAAGTGGAGATGTTGAGTTTGCTATGTGTCTGGAGTTCAGGAAAGAGGTCTGATTTGGGGCATCATCAGCGTGAGGATGGGGGTTAAAGCTCTGAGGCTGAATGAACTCTGTACTGGAGTGACTGTAGGTAGAGAAGAGACCCCAGAACAGAGCCCTGGGGCACCACAACATTGTGGGGTGGGTTGGTGAGAAGGATCGAGTGAAAGGATCTGAACAGGAGCAGCTAGTTAGGTGGGAGGAGAACCAGGAGAGTGGGCTTTTCTGGAAGCTCAGGGAAGGATCAGTGGCTTCAGTGGAGCAGTAACAGTTTATTCAGCGTTAAGGCTGTCCTCTCTCAGCTCAGGCCTGCTCCTGCAAGCTTGTATTGGGATCGGCCTCCTCCTCCAGGTAGTCTTCCCTTCTTGGGCAGAATTTCAAAGGGCTCCAGGTCGACTTCTGTAGTTCATAAGAGAACGCAAACAGCCCTGCTGTCTTAGGCTGCGAGCCCACCTCCCACTTTCAGATTCCTCGGCACATGTCAGATACTAGGTATCCCCTCGGGCCCTCGGTTCCAGTGAACACTTACCAGGTTCTTTTTTTTTTCTTTTACACTTACCAGGTTCTGAGTGGTGTCCTTGAAGCCCCTCTTACTAGGTGGATTAATTTCCTAGAGCTTCTGTGACATGACCACAAGCCGAGTGGCTAAGACAACAGACCTTTATCCTCTCCCAGTTCTGGGGGCCAGAAGTCTAAAATCAAGGTGTCTTCAGGGCCTCGTTCCCTCTGCAGGCTCTAGGGGAGCATCCTTCCTGCCCCTTCCAGCAGCTCGTGGCTCCAGGCCTTCCTTGGCTTGTGGCCATGTCATTCTAGTCTCTGTCATCACATGGCCTTCTCCGTGTCTGTTTCTCTTGTCTCTTATAAGGACACTTGTCATCGGGGGCACCTGGGTGGCTCAGTCGTTAAGCGTCTGCCTTCGGCTCAGGTCATGATCCCAGGGTCCTGGGATCGAGCCCCACATCGGGCTCCCTGCTCAGTGGGAAGCCTGCTTCTCCCTTTCCCACTCCCCCTGCTTGTGTTTCCTCTCGCTGTGTCTCTCTCTGTCAAATAAATAAATAAAATCTTTAAAAAAAAAGGACACTTGTCATTGGATTTAAGGCAACTCTGATCCAGGATGATCTTATCTCAAGATCCTTCACTTACACCTTCACAAAAAACCCTTTTTCCATATAAGATCACATTCACCGGTTATGGGGGTCAGGATGTGGACATATCTTGCTGAGGTCATCATTCAGCGGACTACACGAGGTAAGGGGCCAACATCTTCACTCCTGCTGGGGGTGTATGTAGCAGGTAGGAGTCACAGCATGCTGACACCTCCCTACAAAAATAATCCTCCCCGTAATTTCCCCCTCTCTTGTGAAATTCTTAACTTCAGTTTACAGCTGGAGATAGGTCCTAGGCAGAGTTTATAACAAGTGCTGAACCATGGCCTTTCTGACCCCACGTATGGGCCTGCAACTCCCTTTGTAATGAGAGGATATGCCACCTTGTAGATTGAAAAGCCTGTTTTAGCTCCCTGTTACACTTGATAAAGTGCTCAGCATTCTGCTTAAAGTGTGGCCCCAGACCACACTCCTTGTCCTGCAAGGTAAGAGAATTCTGCGAGGGTCTCGTGTGACAAGTCTGCTGCCTTTCTCTTCCAGACCCTGACTTGTTGGATGAGCAGGCCCCCCTGGAAGAGTCAGCCGTGTGAGATGGTGCAGCCCAGTGGCGGCCCGGCAGGGGACCAGGACGTGCTGGGTGAAGAGTCTTCTCTGGGGAAGCCAGCTATGCTCCACCTACCTTCTGAGCAGGGTACTCCTGAGAGCTTCCAACGCTGTCTGGAGGAGAATCAAGAGCTCCGAGGTGAGGAGGGCAGCAGGTGTGCCGAGCAAAACGTCAGAGGTCCCAGCCCTGTTGGTGGGGGAGGCTTCTTCCACTCATCTGTGCCTCTGTTTTTACTGGGTCTGAGGTGGGGGTGCACCTGAGAGCCAGCTAGTGATTCAAAGCCACCCTCCCTGTTTGTTTCAGGTGGGATTCCCTGGAAATGGACTCTGAGGTATAGATTGACTTGCAGGAAGTTTATTTAGAGTTCTGTCAGGACCAACAATGGGGGAAGGAAAGGGACAGGGAAGGGGAGGACAGGGAGAAGCGGGAGCGGGCACAGGGAGAAGCTGGACTGCAGTGCAGGCCGACCCTGCAGGTTGCTCTGGAGCTGGAGTGACCCTTCTGAGTTGTCCCAAGTCAGGCCAACTGTGGTGGGGCTTTTCTGTCTCCATCCTGATCGGTCCTTAAGCGGCCAACTATCCTGGGAGGGGCTGGCTATTCTGGGAGAGGCCCTGCGGCTCCTGGGAAGGGGGGGCGTGACCTGCCCTGGGAAGGGGGCGTGGCCTGCCCTGCGACGGACCTGTGGGGGAAGGGCTGCTTTCGGAAAGGGGGGTGGTTTCTGGTGCCTGTGGTGCGGGTGTGAGCGCGGCCACCGTGGCTCCCAGAACCATCCCATTTCTGTCTTCACCACGACCTCCCCCACCCACTCACCTGCCATGTCCTCGCTTGTATGGGGAGGGGGGCAGCTTCTTCAGCTCCCAGTGGCCTGCTCCATGCCTCTCAGGTGGTTGGCTGCCCTTGGCTGGCGCACATTTGTGCCCACCCTGCGTGTGACGACACCCTGGCCCGCCCTCTTTGGCCTTGTAATCATGCTTAGACATCTAGGGGCTGTCCTGGCCACTGCATGGTGTTGAGCAGCATCCCTGGCCTCTACCCACTAGATGGCAATAGCACTCTTCCAGTTACGATAACCAACACTGTCCCTGAGGTCAAATGTCCTGCTGTGTTGGGGTCACATAGAGCTGGCAGCCAGGTTGGGGGAGGGGAGACAGCTCACCTTCCACAACTATGTGTGTGGCCTCTGCTGGTCCCCAGGAGGGTGCTCTGGCAAGAGGGACTTGGGGGAAGAGTGTGGCAGGTTGGCTGTAGAGGGATCACGGCACCACCAGCTTCCCGCCCAGGGAGCTCGGGCTTTAGTGGCAGGTGGAGACCTTGAAGCTGCACCCTCCACCTGTGCTGCGTGAGGCAGATGGCAGATGGCTGCTGTGTGTCAGGCCCTGGGTCACACTCCCAGGGCACTGAAGGTGTCTGCCCCCAGCGATGCTCAGGATTGTGCCTAAGGAGGAGGGCGCAGGGGAGAGGACATAGACTTTGCTTGGAATGTTTGGGGGGAAAACATGGAAGTCGGTTGTGGAAGTCATGGAAGAGGTTGTGTGTACCTAGGGTAGGAGTCCATTTATGTGACATGTCCAGGAGAGGTGGATCCAGAGAGAGAAACAGATGAGTGGGTGCCAGAGGCTGAGGGTGATGGGAAAGTGATTGCAAGTGGGTTCAGGTTTCTTTTGGGGGGGGGTGATGGAAATGTTCTGGAACTAGCTAGAGGTGATGGGTGCATAGCTTTGTGAATACACAGAAACCACTGAATGACTGTGTACTTTAAATTAGTTAAAATGATAAATTTGATGTGATGTGAATTTTATCTCAATAAAAGGGGAAGTTGCATATGAGTCGAGGCTTAGGTGGGGGGTTGGGCAGGATTGCAACAGGTGGAGGGTGGAGGTGGGTGAGGGAAGTATGCCTGAGGCAGGAGGCTCCTGTAGAAGGGCCACACTCAGCTTTGCTCCCCTGCAGGGGAGGAGTCACATGGGGACAGTAGAGTGCAGAACGAGTCTATGGAGCTGGGCTCAGAAGCCAGTGCAGTTCTAGTAAAAGGATGCTCCGTCATCAGGGTTTTGACCAGAGAGTGACACGAAGCTACTGCCCGTTGCAATCTTACAGAGTTCTGTAGTTGCAAGAACCTTCGTGTGTCACCGAGCAGTTTTGTCACCCCTCCATGTTCTTCTGCTGCCCGGGGTATCCCTGGGTGTGGGGCTCTCCTTTCCTCAGCCTCTGCTGACTGCCTGGCCTTGGCACATGCTCGTCCTTCAGCCTCGTGAGCGGGGGACTAGCTGTTTCGTGACCACTCGCTGTGCCCAGATCCTGTGAGGTGGCTGTGGTTATCCCCGTTGAACATGCAGATGAGGACAGTGAGGCTCAGGGAGGCCAGTCCCTGGGCCACTCGAAGCCTTCTGGGCCTCCCAGGCTGCAGCCAGCCATGCCACAGGGCACTTTGCCCTGGTGGCCTTCCCTGAGTGTGCAGGTAGCTTCGGGTTTCCTGATTCTGAAGATAATGACTTCGCGCCCCAGGGCGCAGGCAGGCGCACTTTTGACCTGTGGCCAGAATACAAATGAGTTCGAGGAACTTAGAGAGAAAGTGGCCTTTGGCACATACTTTTAAGCAAAGCTGATGTGTTTGGTATCTCTTCGGAGAAATTTAGGGGCTTTATCAGTAGCATAAATAATTTTGAAAGTGTTACGCAAAATAAGAGGTGTTTCAAAGCCATCTCCACATGCGAGGCCGCACGGTACCGCAGGGACGGCGCCGTGACGGCCCGGGAGGGGCTGGGAGGCCCCCTGCCAAGTCTCAGCTCTCGGCCATCTCCTCTGCCCCCAGATGCCATCCGGCAGAGCAACCAGATGCTTCGGGAGCGCTGCGAGGAGCTGCAGCGTTTCCAGGGCAGCCAGAGGAAGGAGAAGGAGTTCCTCATGCAGAAGTTCCAGGAAGCCAGGAAACTGGTAGAGAGACTGAACCTGGAGAAGCTCGACCTGAGGAGGCAGAGGGAGCAGGCCCTGCAGGAGGTGGAACATCTGAAGAGATGCCAGCAGGTAGCCAGAGGGGCTGGGCAGGCCCTTCCCCAGGAGCTGGGGAGCCAGGGGGTTCTGGAAACCACAGGGATGCCAGTGTTCCCCGAGGGAACCTGTGGTCAGGGCTCCTCGAGAGCACCCTCAGGCTCGATGCTTCACTAGGAGGGCTCGCAGAACTCAGAAGAGCCGTACAACGGCTCCCGGTTACGGTTCTTATGGTCAATTACAGTGGAAGCACCCAGGTCAGAATCAGCAAGGACGCGAGGAGCGTAGGGCCGGGTCCAGGGGAGACCAGGCGTGAGCTTCCAGGTCCCTGGCCGGCGGAGGGGTGCGGCAGTGCCGTTTCTCCCGCAGCCTTGTGTGACAACCCGCACCGGGCACGGCCACCAGGGAAGCCTCCCTGCGCGGCGCTGTCCGGGGACTTCAGTGCGGGGTCGGTCCCGTGGGCCTGGAGCTCCCACGGGGCTGAGCTCGGAAACTCAGTCTCTGCACCTGCACTGCGCCCCCCACCTCCCACCCCCCACCCCCCACCCCCTACCCCGGGACGTGAAGCTGAGAGGTGTGGCCCAGGGGCCCGCCAGGAATCCCACTGTGAGCACAGACTGCCTGCCAGGGAGCTCGGGGATGAGTGTGCCAGGTTCCTGGGGCGGCCATGACAAGGGACCACAACGCTGGGTGGCTGGAAGAAAGAGAAATGTATTGTCTCCCAGTTCTGGAGGCCAGAAGTCCAAGAGCAGAATATGGGCAGGGTTGGTGCGTTCTGGAGGGTCTGAGGGAGAACCTGTTCCAGGCTGCTTTCCCAGCCTCGGGTTGTGCCCGGGGTCCTTGGCCTCCTTTGGCTTGTAAACAAATCACTCCATGTCCCTCTCCGTTGTCTCATCACCTCCCTGGGTGTCTGTATGTCCCTCCTTCTCCTCTTATGAAGACACCAGCTGGACGTTAGTTAAAGTGGTGAAAAGAGGTTTTATTTGGTAATTACTGACAGCAGGGGAAAGAGCTGAGCTCCATTGTGACTTGCAGAGGTGCCTGGAATTTTCCAGAGGGAGGGAGGAGGAGGAGGAGGGGCTCAAGGGAAAACTCACAAAGGGTCTGTCAGTGGAAATGCGGGAGGTGAGCTGGCAGTTACGGAAGTTAGCCTTCTCTCCTGCACAGGGACTGGGATTCTGAGGCCCTAGTCTTCATGAGGATTCCTGTTCAAGGGAATGGTTTTCAGGTCCTTGAGAAGGACTCTCCTGGGTTGTAGGAGGTACGTGGACATTTCAAAGGGATGGAGGAAGGGTTCACAATTGGGAGCCCTCTTACCAAATGCTCTAAGGAAGGGAGGCAGGAACAGTGTTCCGGTGTTGGCTGGAACAGTCAAATTTGGCAGCATTGAACTTTCCTAGGTAGGCATGCCAATGGGTGGCTGGGTCTCCCAGGATGCGGCCCTTTGCTGCTAGAATCTGTGTTTAAGTTTGGTCAGGTCGCCGAGTGCAGGGATTTGGATGGAGTCAAAGTCATTTTGTGCTGATTTCGTTTGTAGTTCTCCACAGTCATTGGATCTCCTACCGCCTCCTCTTCTAGCATGACTTGATCATAACTTGATTGCATCTGCAAAGCCCCTGTCTCCACATTAGGTCCCGTCCACAGGTACTGGGGGTTAGGATGTGGACATATCTTTTGGGGGCCACCATTCAACCCATCCCAATCTTGAACAGGTAGACTCAGTGCTCTTTGCTAAATGCCTTCAGAGCATCTGTCAGTGCGGCCCTGGGGGCTCCTCTCCGCTTGGCCCGGCTCACGTGATGGGATGCTGGTCACACAGCTGACAAGTCCAACAGCAGTGGGTATCGGAGTGGACATGGCTTCATGTTGAAAAACTTTGAAAAACGATTCAGCATTTTTTCTTCAGGTTGCCCCCGACTCAGCAGCCTCACCGCAGGTGTGCATCTGAGAGCAGCTCTTCTTCGTTCACTGGAGAAGCCAGTAGAACCATAGGCTGGAAGTTTTTTAACAGCTTTACTGAGATAAAATTCACTTACTGTAAAATTCACCCTTTTACAGTATCCGTGGCATTTTAGTATATTCATAGACTTGTGTAACCATTACCACTCTCTGGTTCCAAAACATTTTCACCGCCCCCCCCCCCCCCTCCCCGCAAGAAGCCCCATCTTCATTAGCCGTCAGTCTGCATCCTCTCCCTCAGCCCCTGGCACTCTCCAGTCTGCTTTCTGTCTGTGGGTTTGCCTGTTCTGGACATTTCATACAAATGGGGAATCATACACTATGTGCCCCTCACATCTGGCTCCTCTCACCCAGCATACAGATTTTTGAGGTTCATCCATGTTGTAGCATGTATGAGCACGTGATTCCCTTTTATGGCTGAGTGATACTCCGGTGTATGGAAGTAGCACATTTCACTGAATCTGTTCGTCAGTTGATGGACATTTAGGTCATTTCCACTCTTCAGCTGTTGTGAGTAATGCTGCTATGTATTTCTTTTTTTTTAAGTTTAATTTATTTAAGTAATCTCTACACCCAGTGTGGGGCTCAAACTCATGACCCCAAGATCAAGATTCACATACCTCTCCGACTGAGCCAGCCAGGTGCCCCCAGTTAATGCTGCTATGAAAATTTGTGTGTGGATCTGTGTTTTTGTTATCGGGTAGATACCTAGGAGTTCCCCTGTTAATCTGAAGCAAATTCTAGACACTGTAAATATCGTCTGTAAATATTTCAGTGCGCATCTCTAAGAAAGGGCTTAAAAAAGACATAACCCGATACCACTCTCACACCTGAAATAGTTAACATTAATTGTTTAGTGTCATCAAATCTTTTAGTGCCATCAAATAGACACAATATATTTTGACAGGATTTCCTGATGTGTTAGATGTGAGCTGTGAGACACAGAGAGGAGTCAAGAGGAACTCCAAGGTTTTTGTCCTGGTAGCTGGAAGATGGATTTGCCATCAGCTGACAAGAAGGAGGGCTCTGGGTGGAACTGGCTTTTGGGGGCTGTCAGGCATGCAGTTTTGAGAGTGCGGCTAAATATCCAAGAAGACATGTTGATGTGACAGGCCAGGTGGTGGGGGGTATTTGCACTGTTCAGTGGGGAGACCTTCTCTGAGGTGCGTTCTAGTCAGGACCAGAACACAGTGAAGGGCTGAGCCACATGGGGTATTTGGGGAAAGCATGTTTTAGAGGAGGGGAGAGCATGTGCAAAGGTCCTGAGGCAGGGACATGCCTGTCATTTTCAGGGAACACCAAAGAGACAAAGATGGCTGAAGCTGTGTAGAAGCGGCTAAGGAGTGGGCGGGGAGAGTCAAGGTAGGGGCTGGTTATGTGGGCTTAGTAGGGCCAGTGGAAGGATTGGGGCTTTGACCCAAGTGTCACAGGGACCGTAGGGGCTGCTGTGGTAGTGTGAGGCATTATCTGGTTTCCTGTAGACTGTAGAGTAAGGGGGGGGGTGTTATGAGGTTGAATTGTGTCCCCCCAAAAGAAATGTCCACATCCTAAACTCTGTACCTCAGAACGTGATCTTATTTGGAAATAGGGTCTTTGCAGAAGTAATAAAGTTAAGATGTGGTTATACTGGATTAGGATGGGTCTAAATCCAATGATTGCTGTCTTTATCAGAAGAGAAACAGACACCAAGACGTCCAGGGAAGACGGCCATGTGATGATGGAGGCAGAGATTGGGGTGATGCGTTTACGAGCCGAGGAGCGCCAGGGACTGCTGGCCCAGATTTCCCCCCAGGCTCCTCAGAAGGCACCGACCCTGCCCACGCCTTGCTCTCGGACTTCTGGCCTCCAGAATCGGGAGGCAGTACATTACTGTTGTCTTAAGCTCCCCACTTTGTGATTCCTTCTAGAAGACCCAGGAAACCTGTAGGAACAGGTGCAGGAGTGGAGGAGGAGCCCAGGTGGAAGTCACTGCAGCCCTGGCGAGGGCCTCTGACCAGAGTGGGCCCTGGCCCACGGGGTCTGCTGACAGGCATAGATGATGTGGAGGTATGGGGCAGGTAGCTGGATAGCTAAGCCGGGGCTCCCGAGAAGAGTCTGTCGTGGAGGTGTGAATTGGGAAGCCATCGGCCTGCGGGGTTACGGCAGGCCTGGAGACCAGACCCGCGCATGGAGATGTAGAGGAGAAGGGAAGGAGTGGCGGGTATGGTGTGTGCGTGTGCACAGGAAGCCGGGGCAGGGGCGTGGAGCAGGGGAGTGGCGGTTGCTGTGGGGGGTCCGGCTGTGAAGGACTGAGGCACCGAGCCTAAGGTCACAGGGGACTTGGTCTGGACCGCTGGAGAAGGGAGGCCGGGCATCAGGGGATTCGGACAACTCTTAGTTTTGTCACAGGTAGAGAGGCCTTCTGGAAAGTGGCAGTCCGTCTCATCTCTCCTGGTGGCCTTGGCTTACGGAGGGGAGCATGTATTTTGACACTATCTTTAGGTCTGACCTCCCTGAGCATCTGCTGGGCTCAGTCCTCATGGCCTGCTCGTCAGCCTCGTGAGACTCGAGGCAACTCTGTGCCCCTGTGTCTGCAGGGACGAGGAGGGGTTTGGGAATGTGGGGTCGTGGGACAGTTGCCTGGCTGGGGCTTGGGAAGCTTCCAGAGGTGAGCGGTGAGGTGAGGGGTGGTGCTGGGGGCAGGAGAGAAGCCCTCCGGTGACATGTCTTAGTCCCTGCCCTCTGCCCTGGGACTTGGGGATGCCAGGGGTGGGCAGCCGGCAAAAAAGTGTTACTGACAGGAAGTGGCTTTTTTCCATGCAGCAGATGGCTGAGGACAAGGCCTCTGTGAAAGCCCAGGTGACATCCTTGCTGGGGGAGCTCCAAGAGAGCCAGAGTCGCTTGGAGGCCGCCACCAAGGAGCGGCAGGCTTTGGAGGGCAGGTGAGTGGGAAGGGAAAGCCCTCTGGGGGCTGCCGTTCAGGTACCTGGGGAGAGTGAGGCGCCTTAGGAGCCCCTGGAGGGTTCCTCTGTGAGAGGTCAGCTGTGGTGATCGCAGGAAAGGGCTTCCCGCCTCCCAGAGGGAAGCAGGTGCTCTGCAGAAAGCACCCTGTTGTGCGAACAGTCCAGGCCCAGGGACCACCCTCAGTAGGCAAACTGTCAGGCTCTTTTCTGGACAGGGGGGTTCCCGTAAGTGGGATGATTGGGTCAGAGGGCACAGATGCTTCCTGGGCTCTCAGGCCGCCGGGCTGCTGCCCTGCAGGGAGCGAGGCGGGTGCCGCTCTGCTGGTGCGTTGGGCGGTGTCACGGCTGCCTTCCCGCCTCGGGAGGGCAGGAGGGGCGCGGGCAGGAGCTCGCCGCCGTCGGCGACACGCGAGACCGTGTGGACGTGCTTCCGTCTAGAGAACAGTGTGAGGAAAGGCATCGCTTTGGCCTCGGGCTCGTCGCGCTCTCCTGTTTTCCCCCGTGTACTCTTCTGTGCCTCCAGCTTTCTAAAACCACGTGCACCATTTTTAGGACAATTTGGTGTCTTTTTTGCCTGTCTTTTTCTGTGTACATGAAAGAAACGGCTGGAGACAACTTTGGTCGGTTCTGACCGTGCGCGGACGTTTCCGTGAGCAGCTGGGCTCTTGGGCAGTGTCCTTTTGTGCCCGTTGCCCTGGGGGTCGGCCATGGAAATGCTGAGCTGGACAGCTCAGGTACAGAAGCCTTGCTTGCATCTCAGGGCATTCAGTGTGGCCATTGGAAGAGCTTCCTCCGTCATACACATGGAGGCCCCCTGAGCCTTGGGCCTGTCCTGTTCCAGGGCCCCGGGCAGGCGGCAGTCCCATCTGGTGGTAACGACGTCAGATCACAGATGGAGATGTGCTCAGTGTATTCGGACAGGTGCGGAGAAACAGCGAGACCAGTGACCATCCCCAGCGGCCCCCGCCCCCCAGAAGCAGCCACCGTCACCCCTGCGGTGGGGACCATGCAAGGCCTTGGGCCAGCAGGATGACACGGCTGGAGCCTGGGCCTGGAGATCTGGGGAGCCGTGGGGAGATAGGAGAGCGGAGTTCGGAGACTGGGGGCTGTGGGGCGATATGGCTCATAGCGGGGGTGGCGGGGCAGCCATCGCCGTCACCCAGCCAGGCGGGTGGGAGGCTCCTCTTCCAGGTGTGTGCATTTGGGACTGCAGCTGAGCCCTTGAGATGGGTCAGCTGCCTTCCTGCCGCTTCTAGAACAGGGACTGGGAGGGAAAGAGCCGCCCGCAAGCTGGCTCTCTGTGGCTGTCCCGTGGGTGGTAACAGCGCTTCCACCCTGACAGCCGACAGCCCCCTCCTCTCTCACACGGAAGTGGCTCTGTGTCGGCGGGACGCTCGGAGCTGTGTCCCGCCCCGGCCCGCGCTCCCCCCGCAGACCGCAGAGCTCCTAGCGCCGCGCCGCCGCGGCTTCCGCCTTCCTCGTGCTCAGTGCGCCGGGGATCCTGGGAGCCGGCGGCAGCCCCCTCCCCGTTCTGCGGGGCCCTACCGTGACCGCCCCCTTCCCCGTGCCAGGGCCCGGGCTGCCAGCGAGCAGGCCCGGCAGCTGGAGAGCGAGCGGGAGGCGCTGCAGCAGCAGCACAACGTGCAGGTGGACCAGCTGCGCATGCAGAGCCAGAGCGTGGAGGCGGCCCTGCGCATGGAGCGCCAGGCTGCCTCGGAGGAGAAGTGAGTGGCGTTGTGCCCGCAGGAGGGACAGAGACCAGAGGGCAATCAGCGACTTTCTAGCTGTCAGGGAGCCCTTCCACGGACTGTCGCTGAGCCTGATCACACCTAGATGATCCATCTTGGATCTGATAACGTGTGCTCTCCACATGTTGACAGCATCCGGTCCCGGACCCTGCATTGCTTTCGTTGGCATGCCTTTGAGTCTCCTGTATTTATTTACTTATTTATTTTAAAAAGATTATTTATTTATTTGAAACAGAGAAAGAGAGAGAGCATGAGCAGGGGAAGAGGGAGAAGGAGGCTCCCCGTGGAGCAGGGAGCCCAATGCGGGGCTCGATCTCAGGACCCTGGGACCATGATCGGAGCCGAAGGCAGATGCTTAACTGCTGAGCCACCCAGGCGCCCCAAGTCTCCTTTCATTTAGAACAGTTCTCCTGTCTGTTTTTCATGAAGTTGACTTTTTTGAAGAGCACAGGAGAGTCCCATCCTATTATAAACAGTCTTATTTTTAAACATGTTAGCCTTAAGAAAAAGGATGCTAACCATGTAGTGAAGCCCGCCTTAGAGCTGATGGCCTTTAGGGCACAAATGCCCCCTGGAAGCCCCCTTCTGGTCTGTGGACATGACAAGAACGAAGAGGGTGGGGCTGGAGCAGGACAAGGTAGTTTCTCCAGCAAAGGCTCCTTTTCCTCAGGCGGAAGCTGGCCCAGCTGCAGGTGGCCTATCACCAGCTCTTCCAAGAGTATGACAATCACATCAAGAGCAGCATGGTGAGCAGTGAGCGAAACCGAGTGAGTATGGTGGGCATGTACTTGGGACTGTCTAGGACTGACTTGCCTTGGTTCCTCTCCCTGCAGCCTAGAAACAGAAGAGCATGGGGCCTGCTTCCCCAAATTTACCACTATGGGAGCTCGGGTTCTTTTAGCAATAATCGCGCCTCGGATAAACCTCATTGGCTACGATACTGCCACTGCGCAAAGCTTGGGAGCTCGGGTTCTTATATGAAGACTTGACAGAATGGGATTTGGGGAGGGATACTTGACTTGTCCTAGAGCTTTGTCAGGGTCGCAGTGTGACAGCTCAGGGCAGGATGTGGGATCCTTGGGCTGTGCTGCTTGTGGCCTGCAATCGACTAGGCTGGGCCTCTGGATGCTCCCTCTGTGGGCTGGGAACATGCTTGTCTCCACGGCCAGTCCCTTCTGCCAGCCCGGCTCCTGGCTCTGACTTCTCAGAGCCAAGGTAAGGCCCAGAACACTTCTATCGCACTGTTGAAGGTGGCTGTGAGCCCTCTTTCGGTTTGTTCTCATCAGACCTGTACTGGGTGCAGTTTCTAGTGATCACATTTTAAGAAGGATGCTGTCAAACACGAGCGTACCCAGAGGAGACTTGTAAGGGTGGGGTGTTAGTGCGGGAGCAGCTCAGCATGGAGGTGACAGCCTCAAAGGGAAGTATGGCCCTGTCCCTTGAAGCGTTGGAGGCGGGCTGTCTGGCTGGGGAATCTGGGAAAGGAGTGTCGGCCTGGGTGGGAAGTTGTGCCCCACGACCCCAGAGGTCCCCTCCACCCTCTGCCTTTCCTGTGTCCTGCCTGCGCTGACAGCCTGTGGTTGGCATCACCCTGGCACTGGCCAGCCAGGGCCCGTCTTTCATTGCTTTTGGTTCTTCTCACCTGGAGTAGCAGTTCACCCTGGGCCAGCTTGAGCTCCCTCAGTACCCCCTTGCCCATTTCTAGGGAATGCAGCTGGAGGATCTCAAGCAGCAGCTCCAGCAGGCCGAGGAGGCCCTGGTGGCCAAACAGGAAGTGATTGACAAGCTGAAGGAAGAGGCTGAGCAGCACAAGATTGTGATGGAGACTGTCCCGGTGCTGAAGGCTCAGGTGAGGGCGCTCCTCTGTCACCCGCTGGCCCCGGAACCTGATGCGTCTCTGGCGTCAGTTTGCGGTGGCTTCTCGGAAGCCCTTGGAGCTCCCTGGGCTGTTCCCTGACCTCTCAGTGCACTTGGGGCTGACTTTCTCTGTGCCATGGGCTCTGGGAGGGCAGGACTCTCCCTCGTCCCCCAGCATGGAGTGTCCAATGAATGGCCAACAGTTGGCGGGCGTGCCCCTGTCTTGGTTTTGTTTGCCAGGCGGATATCTACAAGGCCGACTTCCAGGCTGAGAGGCAGGCCCGGGAGCAACTGGCAGAGAAGAAGGAGTTCCTGCAGGAGCAGCTGGAGCAGCTGCAGAGGGAATACAGCAGGCTGAAGGCCAGCTGTCAGGAGTCGGCCAGGTGGGCCTCGGAGTCCGTCCCCACGAGGAGCGGGTCTCTGGTAGTGACCGCACGGGTCTGTCGAGCTACGAGCTGGCCCTCCCTCTCCCGTCCCCCTGCCCTGTCCTTCCACTGGCTCCGTGTGCGCTGGCTGATTGGACGGTTTCTCTTCTCCAAGGATTGAAGATCTGAGGAAGCGGCACGTGGAAGTCTCCCAGGCCCCCTTACCCCCTACCCCAGGTGAGTGAGCTGTAGGAGGAGGGCTGGAGAGGGCAGGGTGTTAGAGAAAGTGCCATCTCAACTCCCCAGAGCTGCTCTCCTGAGTGTAGTACCCCCTCTGGGGGGGGAGGGGGGCAGAGGGGAGGAGCTAGTGGTGGTGACCCCAATGGTCGGACCGGACAGTCCTATCAAGTCTCAGTACTTTCTGCCGCCTCCCCTCTTTCTCCAGCTCACCCCTCCTTTCACCTGGCCCTGCCCAACCAGAGGAGAAGCCCCCCCGAGGAGCCGCCTGACTTCTGTTGCCCCAAGTGCCAGTATCAGGCTCCTGATATGGACACCCTGCAGATACATGTCATGGAGTGCATCGAGTAGGGGCTGCCTGCGGGGGACCAGCCTGCCTGCTCCCGACTTAACGGGCTGGGTGACAGAACGGGCCACTTCTGTGAGCCCCACGAGCTAGCTCTAGGACCTTACGCTTCAGCTCCCCCATCTGTTGGTTTGCCTCTGTTAGGGTACATGGAACCCGCTAGGCCTGATGCTCTGCCCTTCTTGTTTGTGCCGTCTGCTTGAACCGCTTGCCTCTGGGGCTCCCTTGCTTTCCACCTGCACGGGCGAAGTCAAGAATCGAGGCCAGGGCTCCCCCAGAACTTCTCGAGCCAACACAGGCAGAAGCCTTTCCTCGCACGCGAGCTCCCACACGCCGTGGCGCCAGGGCCCTCGTGGGCCGTGTGGTATTCCGTGTGGAGGCTGCGCCACCAGTAGACGTTGTTGCCACTCTTGTGTCGTCACTAAGCGAACGTCCCTGTGCATCACTTACGTGTATCTCTGGGTCGGATTCTTAGAAGCTGCACCACTGAGCAGCTGCAGACGGGTTAGATGGGCCAGTACGTTGTCCCTGCTTCCTCAGAGCCTTGCCCACAGGAGGGGTGTCCAGCCTGTGGGCTTTGCCATCTGTCAGGCATGTGTTTCTCTATTCAGAGTGAGCCTGAAGGATCTTCTCCAATTCTGCTTAATGGCTTGTTTGTATTTTCTGCTCATTTTTCTGTTGGGCTGTTAGTCTTTTGTTCCTTGGTGTGTTTGAGCTCTTTGGTCATTAGTGGGATCGGCTCTTGTGTATGATAGAAATTGCAAGTATCTTCTTTTACTCTGACTTGGACTTGAAGTTGGTTATCTAGGCGTGGCCACGCTTCTCCACCTTTCCTTCACTGCTTTGGGTTTACCATGGGTGTGACCGGCTCGTGGCTTGACGGGGAGACGCTTCCCACATGTACACTTGCCGTTTCCTTTTCCTAACACCACAGCATGCCGTTGTCCTCCCTGAGCGTGTTGCTGCCTAGCGTGAGCGGTGGTGACTGTGTTTGATCACGTTCCAGAAGCTTGTGATGCTGTTCCCCGCACCAGCCCCATATGCCCCAGCCTTTTGAAGGGAAGCCGCTTGGTGATGATTGGCAGGTTATGAACACTAGAAGGCTCCTTACTGTTGTTTTGCAAGATTCTGGATGTTTCCTTGATGTCAAAGCCAAGGGCATTAAGCCTGTGGTTGTCAGAAAAGGATGTTGGAAGCAGAGGAAGAATGCCCCAGCCTCCCCTGGCCCTCCTCCATCCTCCCCTGGTTGGGAACAGGATGTCGCTGAAGACAGCCCGGCTGGCAGCCTGCTGTGAAGACGAGCCTGGGCGGGGGGCTTGCCTGGCATGTATAGGAGTGGGAGCCCCTTCTCCATTTCCTGGAGCCCAGATGTCTAATTGCAGATGATCGTCCTTTGGGAAGATGTTAAAGGCACAAACAGGCTCCCCACTTCTGGGTGCTGCATCCCAATCCTGATCCTGTAGTTTTTCTGCAAGAGCACTTTTAGTTTTGGGGGGATGTATGAATTTCCCACGGCCACTGTAACAAATGATCAACTTGGTGGCTTAAAACAACAGGAATTCATTTTTTCATGGTTCTGAAATCAGGGTGGCAGGGTTGGTTTCTTCTGGAGGCACTGAGGGAAAATCAGTTCCAGGCCTTTCTCCCAGCCTCTGGTGGTGGCCCTTGGTGTTCTTGGCTCCATTCTCTGCCACCCCATTCTCTGCCTCTGTGGTTACACGGCCTCTTCTTCCTGACTGTGTCTTCCCTTCTTGTCTCTTACAAGAACACCAGTCACTGGATTTAGGGCCCACCTACATCGTCCCGGACGAGCTCATTTTGAGATCTTTATCTTCATTACATCCGCAAAGACTCTTTTTCCAACTCAGGTCATTTTTTTTTTTTTCTTTGGCAGAGAGAGAGAGCACAAGCATGCGGAGAAGCAGGCTCCCTGCTGAGCAGGGAGCCCGATGCGGGGCTCGATCCCAAGACCCTGGGATCATGACCTGAGCCGAAGGCAGTTGCTTAACCAACTGAGCCACTCAGGTGCCCCTCCAACTCAGGTCATAATCACAAATTCTGGGCATGAGGACGTGCCTATATCTTCTGGGCCACCATTCAGCCCAGCACAGGGCTATCTTCTGGAGTGCACAGACTAGGAGAAATGCAGGTGAAGACCAGTGTCTCCAGGACACTGGGCGCTCTGTGGGAAGGAAAGCTGGTTTGGTGGGGGGACAGGCCCTTGCAGGTGTGGGGACTGCTGCTCCTTAGGACATCCCGACTCCAGCTGGCCACCGCTGCCAGGGCCGGCAGCCACGGGCAGGAGAAGGAAGGCTGTCGGCTGCGGTGGGACAGAACTGTTGGACCGACCGGTGCCCTGGGTAACAGCCACCAGCTGCGTAGGCATGGGCTTTGTGCTTTATTAGGAGAGTGGACAGAGGCCCGGGGGAGCCCTTCTCTGACTGGCTTCCTCTTCTGAAAGGATGTTGGGAGGAAGAAGATGAGACCCAGCAGTGGTGAGAGAGGCAGCCGTTCTCTTCCTGGGGTGCTTTCCTCAGGTTCTGGCTTTTACCGATGTTCATGCCTGGGCCCTGGTCCAGCTGAGTCAGGGTCTGGGCGCAGGACCAGGCATTGGCTGGAAGCCACTGCCCTTTTGAAGCTTCCCTTCCTGGGGTGCCCTTGCTCCCTACCTCCTCAGAGCACCCTGTAGGACCAGCTGTACACTAGACACTTAGAAGGGAGGGATTCTGCTTTCTCCCCTTCTGGCTTTACGTAGATTGGGCTTCCAGAATAAGTGGTTGGATCCCTTCTGTGAGGGAAGCAGCCTGCCTACCCAATGAGCTGTGGCCCCTTGACCTCCACAACCCTGGGTTTGGGAGGCAGAGACAAATAGCTAGAAGCACATCCCGCTGAATCCTATGTCATTTCTCGTTGCTCATACAACATTTCTTGTTGTTCATACAACAATATTTCTTGTTGCTTATACAACAATAGTTCTTTTAAAAAAATTTTTTAAATTAACATATAATGTCTTATTGGTTTCAGAGGTACCGGTCTGTGATTCATCCGTCTTACACAATTCACAGCGCTCACCATAGCACATACCCTCCCCAATGTCCATCACCCAGCCACCCCGTCCCTCCCACCCCCCACCACTCCAGCAACCCTCAGTTTGTTTCCTGAGATTAAGAGTCTCTTATGGTTTGTCTCCCTCTCTGGTTTCGTCTTGTTTCATTTTTCCCTCTCTTCCCCTATGATCCTCTGTCTTGTTTCTCAAATTCCACATATCAGTGAGATCATATGATACTTGTCTTTCTCTGATTGACTTATTTCGGTTAGCGTAATACCCTCTAGGTCCATCCATGTCATTGCAAATTACAACAGTATTTCTTGTTGCTCATACAACAATGCGTGCCCTCTGTTACCCGCTGGCTAATGCTTAAGAGAAATCCAGGTGACCAACGAAATAAGCACAACAAGAAAGCGTTTCTCCCTCGCTAGTAACGAAAACACAGACTCCAACTAGACGAAAAGTGATGTGAAACAAGGAACAAATGAAGACTGGCGCCATGCCGCCAAGGTGCGGGGGGTGGGGGACAGGCCTGAGCTGCACCCCGCGTGGGGGCCGGTTTGGCAGGGGGGAACAGGCGTGCGGGAGGCCTCCTGGGCGTGCTTGGCTGCAAGAGGCAGCCGGGTGCACATGGTGACTCTGGCGTCGGAGAGGTGCTGGCTGCGCCGTCGCCGGTAACTGCCAAAGACTGGGGTGAACGAGGGTCTGCGCTTCTGGGTTATGCTGACCCGCGCAGCCGGTCATGCGCCCGTGTGGTGAGCACGCTCCCTATGCTGCTCACATGGAGCACAGTCTGTAGCATGTTGATGTGAAAAAGCCAGCAGACAATGATGTATGAAGTGTGACCACAATAAAAAAGGAAAAGCAGCCTGCTACCCTTTGGATGGATGTGGGTGGTGGGATTGCCGGCAATTAAGGTTTCCTTTTGTGTTGATGTCGTTCCTAAATGGCTGTAATTTGCATGTATTCCTTTGAGCCACGGAGCATCTATGTTACTTCAGAGTCGGCAGAGGAAAGAGCGCACTGGTGCAGGACCGTCTGTCAAGGGTCGACTTGATGCTTCTGGGGCCTTTCTGCTGGGGCTGCTGCAACACGGTACCAGGGCGGCTCAGCCAGCCGAACCGTCTCGTGTCCCCGTTCTGGAGGCCCGAAGCGCAAGAGCCGGGAGCGGGCAGGGTCGGTCCCTTGCGGGAGGGGAGGAGCCGTTCCAGGCCTGCGTCCTCGGCCTGTGGGCGGCAGTCCTCTCTCTGTGTCTGCCCGAGGCCTTCCCTCTGTGCGTGTCTGTTTCCAGTTCTCCCCTTTCATGAGGACGCAGTCCTGCTGGATTGGGGCCCACCCTCGTGACCTCGTGGTAACTGTCCCCTCTGTAAAGCCCGTGTCTCCAAATAAGGTCACGTGCCGAGGTCCTCGGGCTCCGGATGCCCACATTGCTTCTTGGGGTGGGGGGACACATTTCAACCCCTAACACGTGGGTAGGCTAGCCGTTTTATAGGGGCCCTGAAACAGCCCTGAGTCTGCAGCCCCAGCCTGCACTGTGAGTAGGAGGCCTTCAATTGCCCACTGACCGTTGACATGTTAGAAAGGTGACAGGGCTGAGCTGGCTTCGTGGGCTGAGGACTGGGCCCCGCACGGGCTATCAGGAGTCTGAACAGAGCTGCCCGTTCCGGCGCTGGCGCGGCGCCGAGGCGGGGTGGGCGGCGGGCTGCACCTCGGGGGGAAGACGGGGGAGACGGGGGAGACGGTGGGCGGCCTCCCCGGGACGGAGGCCAACTGCTGACTGGGCCTTTCGGAGCCTCCCCGCCTCCACATCTGTAAAGTAACATCAAAGCTTTGGCTTCCGTGTGAGTAGCTACTGAGAGCTGGCTGTAGTTGGCATATACTTTTCCACAACAATGGACAGAGAAGAGGAAATCAGGTTTCAGTAGCAGTGCTTTTCGGGACGGGGGTGTGGATTCCCCAAGATTCTTTTTGTACCTTCTCCTCTGAAGCCACTGTTAGTTTATTCCATATTGCATATCACTTGAGTGCATGTTTTTATGTAGTGGCTTAATTATCTCTTCATGTAACAGCTGTAAGTAGCTGAGCATTGGGTTCTTTTTTTTTTTTTTTGAGCTCTTTTTTTTTTTTAAAGTTACTCTGCATTTCTAGAGCTCTGTTTTATATAACAGGTACTTTAAGTAGTAAATATTATGTCTGTTAATACACATCAGGGTTCCACCCCCTTTACTTCTCATTTTCTTCTTTTTCTCTTTCTCTTCATTCTTTCTCTCTCATCTATTGGAGGTCCTTGTTGAAGAAGAAAACAAACTGTCCTATAGTTCTTGATAGTAATAAACAGCCCTGAGTATAAAAGCAAGTAGATCCAAATGGCTAGAATAAGTGTGGTGGAATAAGATCAGAATCCACTGTGGATTTAAGTGAAGGCTGTTCAAAATGCTTCTTTAAAACTAATTCTTGGGGCACCTGGCCGGTTTGGTTAGAAGAGCATGTGACTCTTAGTCTTGGGGTTGTAGGTTCGAGCCCCACGTTGGGTATAGACATTACTTAAAATCTTGGGGCACCTGGTTGGCTCAGGCAGTTGGGCATCTGACTCTTGGTTTTGGCTCAGGTCATGATCTCATGGGTCATGAAATTGAGCCCCGCATCCAGCTCCACACCCAGCTTGGAGCCCACTTAGGATTCTCTCTCCCTCTGCCCCTCCCCCCCACTTTCTCAAAAACAAACAAATAAATAAATACAAATAAAAATAGCCCCGGGCGCCTGGGTGGCTCAGTTGGTTAAGCGACTGCCTTCAGCTCAGGTCATGATCCTGGAGTCCCGGGATCGAGTCCCGCATCGGGCTCCCTGCTCGGCGGGGAGTCTGCTTCTCCCTCTGACCCTCCTGACCCTCCCCCCTCTCATGCGCTCTCTCTATCTCATTCTCTCTCAAGTAAATAAATAAAATCTTAAAAAAAAAAACCAAATAAAAATAGCCCCTAATTCTTTTTTTTTTTTTAAAGATTTTATTTATTTATTTGAGACAGAGAGAATGAGAGACAGAGAGCATGAGAGGGAGGAGGGTCGGAGGGAGAAGCAGACTCGCTGCCGAGCAGGGAGCCCGATGCGGGACTCGATCCCGGGACTCCAGGATCATGACCTGAGCCGAAGGCAGTCGCTTAACCGACTGAGCCACCCAGGCGCCCAGCCCCTAATTCTTTAGTGTCTATTATCTTGGTATTTAGGAATGAACTGATAATTCCATGATCTATTTGATTGAAAGATCAATTTTTACCAGTGAGTTTACATTTTACAGCAGTAAATTTTTGCTTGTGAGTTTAAAGACGCACTCTCACTGTGTCTCTCTCTGTTAAATAAATAAATAAAATCTTTAAAGATGCAGCCAACAAATGTATATTTAGCAAGGCGCTACGGGGTACATAAAAAGTATGACAGTCTGTGCTTCTGGATGACCAACTACCGTTTAACATTTAATTGGAGTATATATAAAAGAGGAACTGAAAAGCTAGGAAAATACTTGAAATCTTTCCCTTTCAAATGTTCCCTCCTAAGCTTCAATGTTCCTCTGTCAACAAAGGAAATATCTTAGGAGAATATCGATGCCTGGACCAGGAGTTAGAGGAGTCTGGGATTTTTTTCTGAAATTGAGTGAAGTGTATTTTCTTCTTCTTTTTTTTTTTTTTAATATTTTATTTATTTGAGAGAGAGAGAGAGCATGAGCAGGGACGAGGGGCAGAGGGAGAGGGAGAAGCAGACTCCCTGCTGAGCAGGGAGCCCGATGCGGGGCTTGATCCCAGGACTCTGGGATCATGACTTGAGCCGAAGGTGGACGCTTCACCAACTGAGCCATCCAGGCGCCCCAAGTGTATTTTCTTCTTAAATAACTTTGTGAATTTCCAAGACTCTTGAAATATCTTTGCATCTCTTTCCAATTTGTTGTCAGTTCACCTGAAATCGAGTTGGAATGCTTATATTTCAGCTTTATCCCATTACTGGTTTTTTAATCAGATATTTCATGGTGACAGAACTTAATTTGAGACATGCTTCCTAGGACATTGGAACCTAATGACAGGAGATGGAAGCCCACATGCATCTGTTAGGGACTCACTCTGGGCTATGTGGGGCCACCTGAGTGTGACGCAGATGTTGGAGACTTGAGAAGACACCACTGTAGACTCCAACCCTGTTATACCTGATAAAGAAAAGCTGTGAGAGGGTTGCCTGGCTGGCTCATTCAGAAGAGCATGTGACTGTTGATCTTGGAGTCATGAGTTTGAGCCCCACGTTGCGTGTAGAGATTACTAAAAAAAATAAAATTAAATTAAGGGGCGCCTAGGTGGCTCAGTCGTTAAGCATCTGCCTTCGGCTCAGGTCATGATCCCAGGGTCCTGGGATCGAGCCCCGCATCGGGCTCCCTGCTCAGCGGGAAGCCTGCTTCTCCCTCTCCCGCTCCGCCTGCTTGTGCTCCCTCTCGCTGTGTCTCTCTCTGTCATATAAATAAATAAAATCTTTAAAAAAAATTAAGAAAAGCTGTGAGAATATTTGTTATTGCCCCTACAAAATGCACATCTTTTATTATTGATATCTTGATCCCTCTCTCAAGCCTTTTCTTTCCTTTGAGAATATGTATTTTTCTTTACGTCTGGGATGGTATTAAATTGTCATCCTTAAAATATGTTTATTGGTAAGCTATGAACAATGTGATTACTAGTAAAATTAGCTTGAATTCGCCCATTAAAAAAAGGATCCTAAGAGAATACTATGAATAATTGTATGCCAACAAATTAGGTAACTTAGATGAAATGGACAAATCCCTAGAAACACAGACTACCAAAATTGATTCAAGAAGGAATAGAAAATCTCAACAGACCTATCATGAGTAAAGAGATTGAATCATTGCTGTGATCTGAATGTTTGTGTTCCCCCTAAAATTCATATATTGAAATCCTGACCCCCCCAAAGGATGGTATTAGGAGGTAGAGCATTTGGGAAGTGATTGGGATGGGATCCATGAATGGGATTAGTGCCTTTATAAAAGAGGCCCCAGTGAGCTTGCTTGCCCTTTCCATCACGTGAGGGTACCAGGAGAAGTCTGTAGTCAGGAACAGAGCTCTCACCTGACCATGCTGGCACTGTGATCTCAGATTTCTAGCTTCCAGAACAAATGAGAAACAAATTTCTGTTGTTTATAAGCCACCTGTCTGTGGCATTTTGCTAAAGCACCCGAAATGGACCAAGGAAATCAGTAATCAAAAACCTCCCAGAAGAAAAGTCCTGGACCAGATGGCTTCATTTAAGGAAGAATTGACACCAATCCTTCCTAAACTCATTCAAGTAATAGAAGAAGAGGAAATACTTCCTAATCCATTCTATGAGGCTTTCCTTACCTTCATTCCATGAGCATTACCTTGATATCAGAGCAAGACAAAGACATCACAGGAAAACTAGACCAATATCCCTTATGAATGTGGATCCAAAATTCTTGATGGAAAAAGCATTTGACAAAATCCAACACCTCTTTCATGATAGAACACTCAGAAATCTTGGAATAGAAGGGAACTTTCTCAACACAATAAAGGGCATTTGAAACCCATGACTAACATTGCACTCATTGATTTTCTCCCTAAGATCAGGAATAAGATAAGGATGCCCACTTTTACCATTTCTACTCAACATTGTACTGGAAGTTCTAGCCACAGCAATGAGACCAAAAAAAAAAAAAAAAAAAAAAAAGACATCCAATTAGGCAGCAAAAAGAAATATAAGACCTCTATATTGGAAAGAGGTGAAACAAACTCTATTTGCAGATGACATGATCTTATATATAGAAAATCCTAAGGAATCCACAAAAAACTGTTAAAGGCAATAAA